GTTCATGTGCTCCTTCCAGCGGAAAGACTGGGAGCCATGCCCTTCAGTTGGTGAACCAACTCCATCCCCTCTAAGCAGAGAGGTGCTGCGGGCACCACCTGTTAGGATAAATAATATTGTAGGGATACTTCATACTCCAGTGAATTGCACGATGGTGACAGTGGACTTCCCTGAGATTTTTCAGTACTAGGCACAATTGTAAGAGGAAGAGAAAGGCTTAGAATGCATGTATCAGATTGTTTGGTCCTAGGTGAGGAGAACATCTTCTTTGTAAATTCAGTGTTGGGTTTCATTTACACCATTAGGGAAAGCTTCCAATAATAGTTTACTACTCTTGTAAGTGCTGGGCACTGGGCACGGTGTCCTGTGTGTTAGTTCTGGTCTAATAATAGCTGAGCTGAGGAAATTGTTCACTCAGAGGAACTGGGTGACTTGCTGTGGGGTGGGGAGAGACAGGACTGCAACCAGCCCAGGTGTACTTGACTTCAAAACCATGAGCATTGCGTTACGTTATACTATGGTGAATTTGCAGGGATGCCTTCAGTCAGGCCTTTGTTCAGTGACACTTCCTTTTGTGTTAAAAAAAAATGCTTACTTTTGTGTGTAAAAAGTATACTTGTCATTTCAGCCCAGTGCGGGACACTGTGGTCACCAATGACCGCTGGGGAGCAGGGAGCATCTGTACGCACGGTGGCTACTACACCTGCAGGGATCGGTACAACCCCGGGCATCTTCTGCCGCACAAGTGGGAAAACTGCATGACAATAGACAAGTTTTCCTGGGGCTATCGGAGGAACGCCGGAATCTGTGACTATCTTACAATTGAAGAATTGGTGAAGGTGCAGTAAAATGCCTTGTAACAGTTATGGGAATATTCTTAATTAGGGTGGGTTTGTGAGAATCACTTTTTACTACTTGTATAGCTCCAGGGCCTAGAAACACAGGGCCCTGTTCTGTCTTCCACGCTGGTTCTCCTAGATAGTGACCATATATGCATGTGTGAACCCATAAATATATATACTGATGCATTCATGATGAAATTGTTTTCTTTCTCTAAGAACTCTATTCATTCTTAATTTTTTTTTAGCAACTTGTCGAAACAGTTTCATGTGGAGGAAATCTTTTGATGAATATTGGACCCACACAAGATGGCATCATCTCTCCAATTTTCGAGGAGCGATTAAGGCAAATGGGGACATGGCTGAAAGTCAATGGAGAAGCCATTTATGCAAGCAGCACTTGGAGAGCTCAGAATGACACTGTCACCCCAGACGTGTGGTGGGTTGTTCTTTCACCAAGCGCTGTTTGGCTGAAGAAGGCACTTAAACGTTTTCTCAGAGATATAAAGAGAACAGTAGGATAAAAAAGGAAATTGGGTGAATGCCTGTCTATATAAAACACTTTCCAAACTGTATTGACTGTAAAGAGAAGGGAGAGGAAGACAGTAGCATGTTCTTGAACACTTACTGTTTAGCAAATTGAGCTTAAATCATCTGTAAATGCCTCCTAATGGTGGACAAGTTTTAGTGGAAAGCAGTCAACTCTTACAAAAATTGTAAGTCATGTAGAAAAGTGTAAAACCCTCAGTGGCTAACTCAAAAGGGGGGCTCTGTTCAGCCAGTGAAGGAACGTCTGACTTTCGCAGGTGTTATCACATCAGGTTAGCGAGCGAGAGGTGCCCAAGGGCAGAAGAATATTAAAACATCAGCTGCAATTACAGCATTTAGTTGATTAAAAAATTGTAACCTGCTCATAGTATTCAAATAAATCTAAACCTGAAGTTTCTTTAAAATAGATTATCTTAATTTGCTAATTTTTCTCTTTGCTGTATTTTTCTTTAAAAGCCTTGGCTCAGGCTCCTAGCTGAGTTTTGGAAGGTTCTGTGGGCCAGTGAGCACCTGAGTCAGACTCTGCCTGTCTCGTGGCTTCTGATGCCCACATACTTATACACACGTAAGAGTAGTGTGAGTGAGGCTCTAAAAATTCCCCTTGTGTCGCCACCCAAGTGAGTCTAGCCTGACCAAGTATAGATCCAAAGATTAGACTAAATGTTCTTCTTTGATTTCACTTGACCTGACAAAAAAAATTGTCAGCTCGCTGAAGAAAAGAAACCGAGGCAATGCAGACAGAAGCAACAGATTGTAGAATTTCAGAACTCTGGAGCTGTGAGAAGCCACAATGAAAACTCAGTCCTGAGCCTTCATTTCACAGAGGCTTGTTGAACTCTGGTTTTGGTATTTTTTTCTGTGCTTATAGTTGACTAGTACGGTGTCTGATCTGGGACTTGACAGTCATTAACTGTTATTCCTTTAAATTGTCTTTAAATAAGTAAAGATAAAAGCCAAGGTATTCAACAAGGCCAGTAAAGCCCTCGTGTCTGGCTCCTGCCAGTGGCTCCACCTCTGGCAGCCCTGCGCTCCCCTCCTCTCGGTGAGTGCTCCCCGGCTCCCAGGTTCGCTGGTGGGCCCCTCTCCTCGTAGCAGCCATTTATAAGTGCCTGTGTAAGGAACGCCCAGACCTACAGAGAGTTTTAATGAGTTTCTTGAGCCAAAACTGTTGGCAACTGTTGGGAAGCAAGATCTCAAATGCTCCTGAGAAGGATCATCTTGCAGTTTCTTTTATGCATTTGGAATTAAGGAGGGAATGGAAGGAAGAGTACAGGAAGGTGGGAGAAAGCAAGGTAGGGATTGGATTACAGGAAAGTTACCAAGATCATGTGCTTTCTTGAGGGTGCTTATGCGTATTTGAAAGATGTGTTAACTAGGTGTTACAGGCACAAGAATAATAGACAGGGCTTGCTTATAGCAGAGGGAAACCTTTTGCTAGACAAGTTCCATGCCTTGGGTGTTGGCTACTACCACGACCTGCTCACATTCAGGAACAGGTCATCCTGTGATGTTACTTTCTGCAGAACCCCCTTTTTGTCTGCAATAGACTCCCAGGTCCGTCCTTAAAATCCTTGGAGATTTTAGCCCTGGTTTACTGACGCTGTCCCCAGAACTACTCTTAACCTGTGGAATCTGACACCGTCTCTGGGTGCATAGTGTCAGAATTGAGTGCAATTTTAAGACCCCTAGATGGTGTCTGAGAATGCACCCCTGGTGAAAGCACCCCTAGTGGTGCTTTGTGGTATGGGCAGTGCCCTTCCCCCAAATGGAATTGGGATCAGTATCCTTTTGGGTGCTTTTTCCACTACCATGGGGCTATTTTTCCTTCCCTCTATTAACGAAGACGTTGTAACTATTTACCAAATGGAAGTATCTCTGTAAATAATTCCACACTTGACCCATAAGTAATGAGAAGTATCTCTGTGCCCGTTCCCCCTTCTAACCAGGTACACATGCAAACCTAAGGAAAAACTGGTCTATGCCATGTTTCTCAAATGGCCCACCTCCGGAGAGCTGTTTCTGGGCGCACCGGAAGCTACTCCAGCATCGACAGAGGTGAGAGGGAGTGTCATCTTTACTGTTCCTTTAAATTGTTGACTAGAGTATCCTGATGAAAACATCACTTTTAACTTCAGGGAGAGCCGTAATGTGTTCCTCTTATTACCCGTAAGAGTAATTTTAAAATGAGCTTCATCAATGGCCCTGTTTGGCCAGAACCTTTGACCATTTTCCTTCATTTCCAAGAAAAACTAAAGTTACTAAAACAGCTACAGCATCTCCACGCATATCCATGTGAAATATTCTGCTTCACAGCCAGTCCGTGTTGTTCAGGTTTACCGTGTGCATCCAACGCGTTCTTGTCATCAAACTGGAATTCAGATGCTTCCCCCGACATGTCACCCCAGAACACGTCGGAATAGATGTCCTGGCCCTACATTTAGTTCATAAAATACTTTGGACAGCGTCAATGGTTAACCTAAAAGTTATGACCACTAACTAGGTCTGGTATCCGAGTGCATTTAGATCAATTGTATCGCTTATTTTGACGAAACTGACAATTTCCTTGGAGGCAAGTCATCCGAATGCTTCTCCTTGCATCATCTTTTCCTATCTCACTTCTAACGCTTATGATTGCTCAGGAAGCAAAGATGGAGTTCAAATCTGAGGTTTAATTATAGCTTAGTGGCCTGGGTGTGATGTTTTTATTTGATCAATGTTCTCTTTGCCCCTCATTAATGCGGTTACTTAAAAGTTAATGGATTTTGTTTTTATATTGCTCTACATGATAAACAAAGTTTAATGGGTCAAAATAACCACCTGTGGGTCAAATGGATCAAATTTCCACCCCTGTGGAAAACTCTTCGTTTAACTTCACTTCGTATAAGACTAAGGATATAAAACAATTACAGTAATAATTGGTCACAGGTAAACATTGTTGTTTAGTGGGGGTTATTCAGAAATCTGGGGAGGAAGTCTGGCTGCACGAGGGAGAGGAACCAAACACTCTGTACAGGAGCTGAATGTGGGCAGACTGGCTCCAGAGTCCTGGTCTCTGCCTCTCTCTCCTGCCTTTTCTCTGTTCTGACACTTCATTCCACCTTCACTATTCTTCTTCCCCCGCTCCATCACACTTTTATGTGAGAATAATACAGGAGCTAGATGGATGCATGTTTTCTTTGATCAAGCGTTAAACAGCTTGCGAACTCCTAAATAACAGTAAAAAACTGAACCCTCTCTCTACCATGCTTTTAAGAAACATCAACCACCTTTTCTCAATAAAGTGCATGAGTCAGAGCTACATTTGGAGACATTTGTGTGTGTGTTTTAATTTCAGGTTAGACTTCTGGGACACGGACAGCCACTTAAGTGGACCTCTTTGGAGAAAAACGGCATCGTGGTGGAGCTGCCGCGTCTAACCTTTCATCAGATGCCCTGTAAATGGGGCTGGGCTCTGGCGCTCACTGATGTGACCTAAGGTGCAGCGGAGTGGTCCACGCTGCAGTCACAGATTAGACCGTGTCGGGTTTGCAGAATGACAGCACACGGAGAACGCATACGTGAAATGGGGCAAGAAAAGTCAAAGGATTATTTAGGCGGCACAGTCCTTTCCCCCTCTCACTCCCCAATTTTTTTTCCTAACTTAGCCGTGTAACGGTTTTAACTCTCCAGCACACTCTGGGTTCCGAATAGGCCTTGCCAAGATGTGTCACTTTGGCCTGTGAATTATTGTGCGCTGGAGGCCATCGAGATCCTGTGGGCTCGTGAGGAACTTTTACCTCTTCCCATAAAGAATTTAAATTTGAGACCTTGCCCATCATGAGTTATCACCAGAAATTACTTTTTTTAAAAAAAGTGTATTTATCGGCATTTTAATGTTTCCAGAAAACTGACAGATCTACAAAGTAAACATGAAGAATATCTTAAAATCTTTGACAGGGTATTTAATTTTGTTAGAATTAGTATAGAAATTAATGTTAAAAACAAAGGGGAAAATCCACACAATTCCATAGAACAGTGTTGTCCCAGACCTCCTTTGGTTTTAATAATCTTGACTGTCTCCACTTCATTCTGCAGTCATAAACCTTACACGTGTTCTCCCACTTAAGTGATTTTGACACAGAAATGTCATCACTGTACATTCTTGGGAAGAAATAACCTTTTATGACCTATCTCTAGGGCAGGGCAAACTTTGAATTACTGAACATCTCATTTTCTTTTTGTCCTGCGAAGCCTGCCTCCCCTCGAAGCCCCAGGCACCTTCCTTGCCTCAGCCCCAGCTCAGCATGTCATGCATGCCTCCTTGTAACACTGTGTCTCTGAACCTCTCGTGTGTGCGGAGTTCCCATACACACACATGTAATTAAATTTGATGATCTTCTCTCTGTCTCATGCCGATTTGTTTCTTTCTCTCCCTCACTCCCTCTCTCTAAAAAAAATCAATAAATAAAAATTTAAATTAAAAAGTTTGCTTTCTATTATTTGCCTTCAACCAAAATGAAGTTGAAAATCTAGTTAAAAATTATAAAACCACTTCAAATGTTCCTTAAGAATAAAGCAAGATAATGAAGCAAAAACAATACTGATTTTGATGTAAATTTAAAGAAACACTAATGATTGACTAATTAACCTCAACAAAAAAATGGGTGATTACGTGGGGAGGGGATGGGGAGAGATGGATGAGGGTATGGGGGGTAAATGGTAATGAAAAGATGCAATAAAAAATAATATGAAAAGATGCTCAACATCACTAATCATCACAGAAATGCAAATCAAATGCACAATGAGATATTATTTCACACCCATTAGAATGGCCACTGTCAAGACAAAATAACCAGTGCTAGCAAGGATGTAAAGAGATTATAACCCATGTGCATAGTTGGTTAAATTGTAAAGTGGTCCAACCACTATGAAAAACAGTATGGATGGTCCTTTAAAACTTAAAAATAGAATTTTTAGTACATGATCTGGAAATCCCACTGCTGGGCACATACCCAAAAGAATTGAGAGCAGGGTGTTGAAGAGATATTTGCACATTTATGTTCATTATAACATTATTCACCATAGCCAAGAGAAGGAATCAACCCAATGTCCATCAACAGATGAACGGATAAACAGAATGTGGTAAAAAAGAAAAAAAGAAAGAAATGCTATGGAACAAATAAATTAATGGCTATAAAGTATTAACAAAATCATATTTTACTGAAACACTAAAATAAATTTACTAAAAATTTACTAAAATTTTATTGCAATAGCCAGTGTGCTTAAAATCAATACAAAGCAGGCTATTGAAACTATTTGCATGCAAATGAATGAAACTATGTAGTTAATAACAGCTGTGAGTAAATGTCATCAACAAAGTTAGCCTCTAAATCACAGTGTAGTTTCCCAAGGACTGTTAACAATAATAAAGAAAAAAGTGCTGATCATGGTTGTGGAATTCACTGATTTCCATAAAAATAAAAGTCCTTCATCAGGCATAATGAAGACACATCATTTATTCCTTTCAGGAGCAGCTAGAGAAAAGTCTGATTTACTGCTGTACACGGCTTGTCCAGTGGCCTTCATGATTGGTTAAATAGCACATTTCCCAGACATTACATCTATTTCCCAAAGAGCTTTTACCTCAGTATTAATGCCAAAGTATACTGAACTTCACACTATATAAAAAACGTATCTACATTAGTTTTCAGACAGTTTGGAACCAATATCCACGGGGTGACAAACATTCTGCTGTATGTGCTATGTATATTGAGATATGCCCACAAAAATGAGTCCACTGATGACTTTTAAAAAAATATATTAAGATGACAAATAAATCTTTTATTATGAAATGAAGACTCTAAGAATATTTTTTAATTAGGCATTTTGGTAATAAATCATTATTATATACATATATACCTGACTTATTCAGTGTATTTTTTAAAGTAGATTAATCTACAATAGGTATGTTTGAAAAGAGTCATTTCTCCAGTTGCTGAGGAGTGCTGAAAGCTTCGTAGACGTTAGCCGCAAAGTCTTTCACTTGCTCCATCAGCAGCAGATCCTGGGAAGAGGACGACAGAACGTTACAGCTCGCCAAGTGGACACATAATCTGAATCCCTGTCTGCCATCAAGAAACAAATGTAGCTCTAAAGTTTGTGATGTCAAAGTCAAAAAGAAAACCATTTAATGAAAGGAGTACTTTTTCTTACAATAGGTTCTAGGAGATACTTGTTGTTTAGGTTCTTACGAGGGACGCCACCTTTACACCGAGGCCTAGGGACTTTCCTCACTGCACGTTATTGAGGCAGTTTGGAAATGAGGCATATTGCAAGTAATTCTTTACTTGTAACACAGTTTCCAAATGACTCAGAAAAATTCATGTGGATTCCAAGTTTAATATAATCAGTCTTAATGCATTCTAAAATACTTTCCTAAGAAAGGATACAGAGTAACAGGTAGTACAGTGAAAAATCTAAATAACCCACTGTCTGCGTAGCTTCTAGTGAGCTGGTTATTGGTGTATTATTAACAGGTACGTTTATTATTAAAATGTTTCATTGCTCCACAAAACTTTTATGATTTTTCTCAAAATTTGAGGACTTGCATCATTGATCTGCCTCAATGCTTAATATTCTCACTAGCACAGCTTAGTGTGAAACATGAGCACGGTGAACGCAGCTGGCCACTGAGGGTGTCTGGGCTGACACGCAGTCGGTCAGGTGTGGGACGACCTCCTAACTTCACCACGGCACGTTACTGCTCTCACGGGGCATCACCACACCCAGCATGCGGTTTCGAGTGTTCAGTTTCTTTGAACAAGTATCGCAGGAGACAAATGTAATTTTATGTTAGACAAACAGGACCACAACCAAAATATAATATTTTTAATACCCCAAAGCCTTCTTCTTACCTGAACAAAATCACTAGGTGTTTCACTGCAAACCGAGTGGATCTGTCCATTCACTATGGGAATTATCTTCGCCAACGGCAGGCTGACACTGGAAAGGCTGAAACACCATCACAGCAGTAAGTACTCTCTGAAATTTGTCAGGTAGGTATTTACCATTTTCATTATGAATAATAAGTACCACTGGGAAATACTACAGAAATGTGTTAATAAGAAAATAAAAATCATACATAGCCCTACCACCTAAAAATAACAACTACAATTGACATCATGGTTAATTTCTTCCAGTAATTTTTATACATATCTATTTTTTGGCTTATTTTTAACATACAACTATAACTTCCCAAGTATTCTATTTTAAATTTTATTTATATAAGCATGTTTTTTCATCTTATTAAAAGTTCTTCCAAAATTTTTGTCTGTTTTTAATGATTATGTGTGACAATTTATATCATCAGCTATGCCTAGAAGTATTAAAATTGGCCAGAGTATTGAACTATATAGGCCAATTATGGCTTGCAGTACTCAAATAAAATTAGACAACACATTAAAATTTAAAACATTTTTATAGATGATTTATTATAGAATGGTACAACTGAAACCTATATAATTTTATTAACCAATGTCACCCCAATAAATTCAATAGAAAAATAAAACCAAAACCAAAACCTATTTTCAGCTTTGTATTCTAAAGAGTTAAAAAAAAAAAACCAGAATAATTGCAATTTAGATAATGGAAAGGTAGTTTCACAACTTAAGTACTTATCTAAATTGGGAAAATTTTTGAAAAAAATTAATCTTAATACTGAGTCCAGAAAGAGTTCTAATGAAGTAGTTACCACTTTAACAGAGTTCATTTTGTTGAAAAAGGGACAAATTTATCCTCTAAGGTTTTTTTTGTTTCCTGGAACAAAAAATGAATACATCAGAAGCACTATATTATTAGAGCCGTCCTGACACTGATAACACTTCTCCGTGTCCCCTTACCTGTTCATGGAGTCTCCGTGCTGGAGGTCCTGTTCAGTAGGTCGGAAGAACTCAGCCATGTTGTCCAGCAGCCTACTAAACCCTCGGTTTAAACAGGTATTCAAAACCGTACTGAAGTCTGGGCTACATGAAATAAGAAGGTAAGTTACTTTTTAGATTCTTAATGGAAAAGAAAATAAATTCAGTAACTGTGGCTCCCTTTCCCAGCTACCATTTCTAGTCACAATCTAGGTTTTAGAGCCTAAAACACTATAAAAGTACATCAAGGAGTCAATCTTTTAAAAATTAGAATTAAAAGAAAGCTTATTAGTGCAGCACAATGAAAATATTCATTCATGCACTTCTTTAGATTTTCTTAACATTAGTCAGCACTTTGTACAATGTATTTTTAAAATATCAATAATAGTATTACTTCTTTTGAAGAAATTTTTGAAGAGAAATCCTCTTATAGTCACAGATTATTGGTTTGCTTTACATATTCCAATCATTTAATACTAATAACTTAGAAAATTTTATTACCCTGTACAGGTGAGGAACTGGATGTTTGAGGGATAAAGAAATTTATCTGATGGTATGTAACTAGTAAATAGGGGACCTAGAAGTTGAACCTAAGATTTCTTTATCTTAAAGTTCAAGATCTTTTTGTTATGCCCTATTAGTACTTCACAGAAACTCTGTGATATAAAGAGTAATGTATGTGTGCTACAGAAGTCAGAAAAGGCCCTGTTGAACACATCAGGCCTATCTTTGATGTGCAGAGACCTCCGTCCACACCAACTCACAGGAGTGCAGGGACAGGGCTGTAAATCTGGAAATTACTGGCACGTAGACAGCAGTGAAAGCAATGGGAGTATATAAAGCTGCGTGCAGCAACTAAGGACGAAATCAGAACAAACACCTGGGAAACTCTAACGTGTGAAAGAAAGACAGACACAGAGAAACCGAGGAAAATACGACCTGAGAATTGAGAGAAAAATTAAGAGACTGGACTGCCATGGAAGCCACATGAGAAAAGGAGTTCAAGAAAGGCTTGATCAACAGCGCCAATTATCAGAGAAAGGTCAAGTAAGATGAAGGTCACGGGTTGGCTGGGTTTGGCAAAAGATCACTGATGACCTTTTCTAGAGCTTCACAGAGTGGTTTGGTGGAAGCCTGAATATGAGAAAAGGAGAGATTGCTACTATAGAGAGTTAAGGGACTAGAACTTGATGAATTCAGACAGTAGATTCAGTAGCTGAGTTAACCTAAAAGTTTGCTGATTTTCTTCAAGATCGTGAAAAAATATTGTGAGCAAAAGATATAATTTTCTCAGAAAACAGAACTAGAGAAATGGCCTTAAATTATCCTTCATTTAGAAGAAGTTTTGATATTTTAATCACTTAAGACAAAGTGGGCAAGACTGGTATTACTACTCAGATTTTACAATGATAAAACTACCTGAGAGTGTAAGTGGCTCAAGCAAGGCTCAGCTAGAGCTAATACACAGGCGAGCCGATCTGGAGTCTAGGTCTGGTCTTCTAATGTACAGTCTGGTGCTTCTGCAGTAAACAGTGTGGCTCTCTTCCGGATCATTTAAAACACTAACACTCAAATGAGGGAAGAGGTGAAATTTTTTTTAAAGATTTTATTTATTTATTTTTAGAGAGGGAAGGGAGGGAGAAAGAGAGAGAGAGAGAGAGAAACATCAATGTGTGGTTGTTGGGGGCCGTGGCCTGCAACCCAGGCATGTGCCCTGACTGGGAATTGAACCTATGACACTTTATTTCGCAGCCCGCGCTCAATCCACTGAGCTACGCCAGCCAGGGCTGGAAGAGGTGAAATTTTTATCACTCAGGGTTTTAGGACCATGTTAGTCTATCCTGAAAGGGTTAGGGGGCAGAGGTCACACATTGAGTGTGTGTGTGTGAGTGTGAGCATGTGTGTACATGAAGACTGGCTGCGGTGGGCTAGCTCTGCCTTGCAAGAGCATCGCTTCCCAGCTCCCCAGGTCAGCCATGAGTGGCCTCAAGATGGTAATCAGAACTGCTGTGGTTATCCTTTCAGTATTTCTTTTTTACAGAGCTGGTTTGTAAATACTGACTACTTACTAGTATACACGGGGTATACTACAATCATCCTTGAAAGACTTTTTCAAAATATAAATACTATCTTCCAGTCCCTCAACTGGTATATGGAATCTCTAGGTTAGGGAAGCAAGTGGGCCAGGCAAAGGCACCTTGAAAAAAAAATCTCTGCTTCCCTCCACACCCTAATAAAAGAACCACCAGTTTAGTTAGGAAATCCTACCTAAAGGCAGGGAAATAAATCCAAAATTTAATTGTAACAAAAGTTTATGTTGACTATGCTGTTCAAGAAAGACTGCAAAATAGTCCTAGCACAATAAAAACAGACACACACGTTTTCTGTCGCATGCAGTTTACATACCTTTCCAGCATGTCCCTAGTTTCATTGAGCAGTTTGATAGTGGTGACGTCTCTGGGGGAAAGCCCACAGGCCTGTGAAATGAAGCGCCACATTCAGGTTTCCACCGTCAGCACAGTGCGATGATGAAACTAGTCCTATTAATACACTAAAGGGCTGAAGAAATCCAGAAGTCTATGTTCTATCAACGACTAAAAAACGTTAAACTAAAAGAAAGAACTGCCAAGTTTCCTGGGTTGTTAAAAGATGAGACAAAGTAAAATTATACTTTGTAAGACCTTTGTTTATCTGGGCTATCTTGAACACATTTCTAGAATACATTTACAAAGAAAAAAAATAGTCTTTTAGGTTGCAGAGGCCTGCTATTTTTTCTTTTATTGCTAAGACACTTTATCAGGATATCTTTTTCATTGGTCTGCGCTACTCTGGGGCTCTGTGCATCCCTTCAATCTGAAGTTTCAGGTTTTACCTCAATTCAGGTATAATTCCGTTCATCATTCCTCTCTGCACCTGTTCCTTTGAATAGTTTTCTTTTTTAGTTCCACTGCTGAATTTAAAATTTGGAAACTGTTTTATCATTCCAGAATGCCTTAATACTCTTATTGCATCTCCTTGAGATTCTAATTTCTAAGTAAGTCTTCTCCTGTTTTTTAAATTAATTCTGTCCCATCTGTTCTGCTTGTTCATTTTAGTCTCCACCCTGCAGGGGCGCCTTAAATGGGCTGTGGGGTTTTGGCCTCCTCCTGAATGCAGGGTGTGTCAGCACCCAACAGGTCTATCCTTGGGGTCTTTGGGGCGGGGGGGGAAACTTGCAGACGATGAGAAAATCTATCATTCTTTGTTCTACTGCAGAGGTTTGGCACTGGGGCCTTTCTGGTGTAAGGGTTCTCCAGTTGTCAAGTGAGAGATACTCTTTTCTCAACTGCAAAGCATGGGTGCAATCCACTTACATGTGAAACCACCGATCATTATTCTAAAGTGAGGTTATTGACACCTGCAGTCTTTGGCATCTTTATTATTCTTAATCAATGAGTAACCTAAATCACAGCTGCCTGGGACACACTGGTGTGCAGCAACGCCATGGTGGATAAGTGCTAGATCAGCCCTTTGTTCCTTGACCAGATGGCAACTTCCCTCAGTCCACTTTGGTGCTGCCATCATTGATGAACTTTAGTAAAAGCAAATGTGACAGTGGTACCAGCCTGATGAAAATGTAACTTTCTCTGTCTCTGAAGTTAAGTTAAGGCTCTTTATCCTGGCATGCAAAGCTCCTCAGGATCTTGCCCATCTATCAGCTCTATCTTCTGCGACTTGACCTCACAGACATATGTTCTCGCCATGCGAACTGAATTGTCTCCTGAGTTCCCCATGTGTAATGAGCATGTCCTCTTCATTTTACGTCCTGACCATACAGCACAGTATCTGTCACGTAACTAACACTCAATAAAAATTGGCTGAATATCTAAAATTATAAATGTTTCTAACTAGGAATCAGTCATATGAAATTTGTTTTCTAAATGAATAAGGTTTTATTTAAATTATTGAAATATCTGTCTTTCAATCACATACCTTGTAAGAGACTCAGAAATCTAAATTTTAAGAGATAGTAAAAAAAAAAAATTAAATATGTTGAGTAACTGGTTTGGTTAAATGTTTATGAATTAAGTACCTGAGCTGATAATGGAGTTTCTTCATCTGGCATCATGTAATGGCATAATAAAGATTTGGATCCATCTTTATCAATCCAGCAAGAAGATTTATGCTGCTCAGTGAGATTTCTGATTTCTTTTAGCTTTTGCTCCAAGTCCAAAAGGGACAAAGAATGTTTAAGAGAAATACTGAAAACAGAGAAAAGGAAGTTGGAAATTAACTGAAATGATATGATACATCCTGAACACACTCTTTTCCTAACATGTTAGTATCTGAGATCCTGCTTCATCCAGACAAACCTGAAACTGCTGACTGCGAGATCACTAGAGTAGATAAGAAATCAGCCATCAGTTAAGGGACATTATTACAGAGCCAAGAAAAATCTTGCTGCATATTTCACACGAAAATTCCCACTGTAATTATAGATATTACCAGTATAAGTAAGAGATAAAAGCCTCACAGGCAGGTTTTAAAGTAGGTTTTTTATCTCATGACCCAAATATTTTTGGTTTGTTTGGAAATCAATCAATGAATAATGAAACACTAAGACTTTCCCCTTAGTTATCAAAAGGTTGACACTGATGAAGAAAATGGATTCCACAATGCAATAAATATCCAGGGCTGTGTATCTCGCCAGGTTACAGAGAATTTCAGAGACCCCCATTTGTGAAGTTAGGAGTGTTTGTCAAGCTACTAGCTTCACTAGAAGAACTCTACTTTTTCTTTTATTCATTCAAATCAAGAAGTCAGAAAAGCCAAAACAAAATGTCTTACTTTCCTAAAATCTCCTGCACAGCCTGTTTAATGACAGTGATCAGTTCTGTCAGGCCTATTGAAAGAAAAACAGACATGGAAAACTTGTTTATTTTCCAAATTCCTCAGTAATACAAATAAATGAATTACAATTAGTTTATAGGTTGTAAACAAAAGTCTTACCATCTCCAAGGAGGTGTTGAATACTTGATAAATACTGCTGTTGGACATCTGGCGGGGCGAGGACTGTCTGTACAGAACAGAGTCAGGTTAAATCACCTAACATTATTAGTAAATTAGTATTTTCAGTGTAACTGGAGCTGAGATTTCCAGGACCTGGACTAACAAGCAAAATAATATTCTTTAACATAACAAACAGTCTAGTTTCAAAATGTAAAAATAATAATGCTAAAAGTTTACAATAACATGAAATATAAAGATATTTAATTTATGGAAATTATCAGAATAAGTAATAATCAGTTAAAGTTGGAGCCTCTTGAAAAAAGGGCAGCCTCTGCTCAAGTCCATTAAACTTACGGTGCCATTTTTGCTAACTGCTGCATTATCCAGGTAGATATATCCACCAATAATGTTTAACTGGACTCGCAAAAGGACAACCAGCATACAAGTACTGTATACAGCCACGATACTTCTTGTGAAACCTTCAGAGAGAAAAGAAAATCACTAGGTACTATCATTGAAACGAATAAACGTGTAAAATCACAAATAATTCCTATGGTTATTTTTTCATAGGATCACTTAAAAATACATTTGTAACTGTTTCAGGTACAAAAATATACCAATTCAAAATATTTCAAAGTCTATTTCCTTATATCTTTTTAATGTAGATTAGGTATGATCTCTTAATTAAAACAATGACCAATATATTGAGTGAAGAGATATATATTATAAGCTTTAAAAAATTAAATAAGGCCCTGGCCAGTGTGGCTCATTTGGTTGGAGCATTGTCCTATAAACTGAAAGGTCTTGGGTTCAATTTCTGGTTGGGGCACAGGCCTAGGTCGCAGGTTTGATCCTAGGTCCAGGCGCGTGTAAGAAGAAACCAATCAGTGTTTCTCTCCCATATCCATGTTTCTCTCTCTCCCTTCCTTTTCTTAAAATTTATTTTTATTTTTTAAATTCTTGTTTATTCTATTACAGTCGTCACGATTTTCCTCCCTTTGCTGTCCCGTGCCTGTCCCACCCCCCACTCCAGCAGTCAGTCCCCACCCTGCTGTCCGTGTCCACGGGTCCTTCAGACGTGTTTTCTGACTACTCCCTTCCCCTTCTTTCCACCATTCCCGCCCCCACCCCCCCACCCCCGGCCCCTTCCCCTCTGGCAGCTGTCAGTCTGTTCCATGTTTTCACGTCTCTCATTCTGTTTTGTTTGTTAGTCTATTTTGTTCATTAGGTTCCTCTTATAAGTGAGATCATATGGTTTTTGTCTTTCACCAACTGGCTTATTTCACTTAGCATAACAGTCTCTAGTTTCATGCTCGCTGTTGCAAAAGGTAGGAATTCCTTCTTCTTTCTTTCTGCTGTGTAGTATTCCATTGTGTAAATGTACCATAGTTTTTTAATCCATTCATCTACTGATGGGTACTTAGGCTGTTTCCAACACTTGGCTATTGCAAACAGTACTGCTATAAACATTGGGGTACATAAGTTCTCTTGAATTGGTATTCTGGGATTCTAAGGGGTGTATTCCCAGCAATGGAATCACTGGGTCAAAAGGCAGTTCCATTTTTAGTTGTTTGAGGAAATTCCATACGGTTTTCCACAGTGGCTGCACCATCTGCCTTCCCATCAACAGTGCACCTGGGTTCCCTTTTCTCCACATCCTTGTCAGTACTTGTTTGTTGACTTAGTAATGATGGCCATTCCGACAGATGTGAGGTGATAGCTCATTATAGTCTTAATTTGCATCTCTCTGATGGCCAGTGATGTGGAACATCTTTTAATGTCTATGAGCCATCTGTATATTCCCCTTGGGAAAGTATCTATTCAGGTCTTTTGCCCATTTTTTAATTGGATTGTTTGTCTTCTTGGTGTTAAGTCGTGTGACTTCTTTATATATTTTGGAGATTATACCCTTGTCCAATGTATCATTGGCAAATAAGTTCTTGATGATGATTTCTTTAGCTGTGCAGAAGCTTTTTAATTTGATATAACCCCATTTGGGGTTTTTTCCCCTTTATTTCCCTTTCCCTAGGAGATATATTGGCAAAAATATTGCGACATGGGATATCTGAAATTTTACTACCTATGTTTTCCACTAGGACTTTGTGGTATCACAATCTTAAGTTTATCCAGTTTGAATTTATTTGATGTATGGTATAAGTTGGTGGTCTAGTTTCACTTTTTTGCATGTAGCTGTCCATTTCTCCCAACACCATTTGTTGAAGAGACTGTTTTTACTCCATTTTACGCTCCTGCCCCCTCTGTCAAATATTAATTGATTGTAGAGACCTGGGTTTATTTCTGCACTCTCTATTTTGTTCCACTGACCTAGATGTCTGTTCTTATGTCAGTACCAGACTGTTCTGATTGCAGTGGCCTTGTAGTATAGTTTGATATCCGATATTGTGATCCCTCCAACTCTGTTCTTCTTAAGATTGCTGAGGCTATTTGGATTCCTTTTTGGTTCCATGTAAGTTTTTAAAATATGTGTTCTAGGTCTGTGAAATATGCCATTGGTATTTTAACAGAAATTACTCTAAAAATCAGTAAGCGTGTCCTCGGGCAAGGATTAAAAATACATACATACATACATACATAAAAACTAAAGAAGGACTGGGAAGCACTAAGAGTTGTAGCCTCATAACTCTAATTTGTCCAGGGAGCTAGTTCAGACTAAAAGAGGGAGGAGGGTGAAGGACTCCAGCCTTCAAAGGCAGGTGAAGGAGGATGAGCCCTTTAAAGGCCTGATGAGAGGTACAGAGTCATAGAGAAGCCCCTGGAGACGAGGTTTTACAGTAACATGAGGTAGTGTTTGAAACAAGGAGAGAGGAAAGGTGTTGATGGTTACCATGATGTCTAGCAGTAGGCAAATGTCCAGTGGATTGAGCAACATAAAAGTTACTGCTAATGTTGCAAGATCCCCTTGGGTGGAGAGGGGAGTGGAGTCCAGGGTGTAGTGTGTCAAAGGGTGAGTGGGAGTGAGGAGAAGGAAATGAAGAAATCTTTGTTATTATATAAGTGTGTGAGAATGTATAAAGCTGAAAGCAAATACAGGGTACTACACAAAGGTTTAATTTATTTTCAAACAGGAAGGTTTAACCATGATTCAGTGGGCAAAGACTAGTTGCATGGATGGGAAAATGTAGGAATAACTGTCAGCATGAAGCTCTAAGGCATGGTATATGTATATTAGTATATATCTACATGCATGCTCTGGGCAGCTCTTTGCTTCAAACTTTTATTACTGATGAAAGCATCTGCACACAATATCAAAGCCAAGTTTGTATTTGAGCTGGAGGAAAAACTTCTTTAAAGTATAATATTGCAGATATCAGTACCTAGTACAGGCATACTCAGGACAGGAGTCCACGTTATCCTAACAATAACAACAACCCACCAACATCACTGGTACTCACTAAGCCTCTTCTATGACCAGACAGTGATCTGCTTATTCTGTGAGAATCATTTAACCCTGACAGCTCTACGGGGGAACGAGCACACGGACAGCCCTGTAGAGATACTGCCAGGACGTGCTGTCACAGAACATGGGCACTTACTTATTATCTTCAGATCCTCCCATATTTCTAGCTTGTTCGAAGGCCTAAAAAAAAAAAAGAATATATGAAAATAATAATTAGATAATCCAACAAAAACTTTGAACTTTATAGCTATGTATTTAATTACAGTTTATAACAGGGTAACTGTAGAAAACAAAGCCCACAAAATCTGGTAAAAAGAAAATCCTATGACTTCAGTAACCAATGACAACAACTATCTTCACTAATATGTTGGTCTAGATCTTCCAGTCTTTTACTTTTCTGAGCATATGCCTATATGATGTTATAAAATTATATAGGAAAAACAGAAGAAATGTTTATTTCTTTCCCTCATTTATCATTTTACACATAATGAAGTAGGGTCTTCTAATCATTCAAAGCTCAATAATGAAGTTTTTTGTTTAAAAGATCATCACAAACACATGGATTTAACTATATATTAGTCTTTGATATGCTTTAACTCATTGTAGTCATTCTTACTGATGTTCAAGTTGTCCATCCTTGACCAAGCTGGGGACTATTCAGGTTCATTCCTGAATCCTTCTGACATGAGCTCACTTATCTCTGATAACTTCCCTGCAGATTGACATGGAAAGTTGTTGTGTTTAACTTGTTCATTTCTAGCTGCAGACCTGAAAGCAGCCATTTCTCTAAGAGCCTTGCTTCCTGGTAGCAAGAAATTGTAGTCTGAGATGGCAACCTTCGATTAAAGATTAAAGATACCCATTGCCACTGGGTAGCAATTCTAAGCATTTTCAGGATTTACCATAATTTTTTTCGGACTATAGGATGCACCCCTCCCCACATTTGGGAGGCATAATGGTTGTTAATGCTGCCATTGAGTTCTGTTTACATTTACATTGGTGAAATACTATGTTATTTATGTTATTAAATATTTTACCACATTTTTTGCTTCAAATTTTTTTTTTCTATTTTCCTCCTCTAAACCCTAGGTGCGTCTTACGGTCTGAAAAATACGGTATGTATCCACGTGAACATATACAAAGAGATAAAATGTATCACAAATTCATTCTAGTTTTACTTTTTAAAATTTTTATTTAATGGTTTTAGAAAAAGAGAGGAAGGGAGAGAGGGAGAGAGAGAGACACTGATTTGTTGTTTCAGTTATTTATCAGGACAACACTCTAACCAACTGAGCTACCTAGCCGTGGCCACTTCTGATTCTTTAATGTAACTGAAATATCTGCTAAAGAATTAATCTAATCCTTTCAAAGTGTTCGACCTCTCTTGTGATAGAAGGTATTTAAGATATTTTGTCATTGGCCTTGGCTGGGTAGCTCAGTTGGCCAGAGCATCATCATGACATGCCAAGGTTGTAGGTTCGATCCCAGTCAGGAAGCAACATATAAGAAGTAACCAATGAATACATAAGTAAGTGGAACAACAAATAACAAATCAATATTTTTCTCTTTTTCTTTCTCCTTCTTCCTCTCTAAATTCAATAATTTTTTTAAAGATTTTATTTTATTTATTTTTAGAGAGAGGGAAAGGGAGGGAGAAGAGAGGGAAACATCCATGTGTGGTTGCCTCTTGTGCACCCCCTACTGGGGACCTGGCCCACGCAACCCAGGCCTGTGCCCTGAATGGGAATTGATTCAGTGACCCTTTGGTTCTCAGGCTAGTGCCCAAGCCACTGAGCCACACAAGCCAGGGCTAAAATCGATAATTAAAAAAAAAATTTTTTTTTAAGATTCTTTGTCACGCACTGAAACCTTGTCATTATCAATGTTCAATAAGAATGCCAAGTCCTAGAAACAATGGTGAATATTTATTTGCTATTATAAAACTGACAAAATAAGATATCAAATCTTTTATTTCTTTCTGACTTGTTATTACCATAATTAGTTTAAAGAGAAAATTAACTTGCTTGACAGGCTTAGATGAGGTCTTAGCTGAATGAAAACAAATATAGAAAAGCAATTATTAGATTGGAGGCCTTATTTAGTCACACTTCATAAGGGCTCAAGCCCCTCTTTATGCAAATATCTTTCAAGTGGATATTCTTTTACTTTAATCTGCAAATAGCAATTTCAAATCAAAAGGAAGAATATCACTGAGATAGATATAAAGAGGAAACAGTGAGTGACAGCGGCTGCTCACCTTAAACTCTTAGAACTTCAGAAACCCTCCCACCTGCGTGTGGAGCGAGGAGAGAGGCACGACATCTTCTCCTCAAAGCTGGCCAGGATCAGCCTCCCCAGTTAATCCATCTTCTCTAGCTCGGCACGTTTTCACCCCACGTTTGGCTTTTCCTTTTTTTTTCTAACCGCAGATCCAACGTCATGTGTCTTTAACTATAATGTATTTCATCTACTTCCTCCCCTGAGGGAAACATCGTAAAGGGAAAGAGACCTCGCCTCATCTGAACTATCGCAAGGAGCACAGTCACTCAGAAGGAAGAACACCACTCTCTTCGCTGTGTCTGTTTTCACGTTGCTTTTAGAAAGGTGCTATTTGCTTTTTTATTTCTCTTGTCTCCCCAAGAAGACCAAACTTAAGACAGTTAAAATGTACTTTTATTCTCTACTTATGTACACAGATGTGATAATTAGCATTTATTTGAGAGTAATCTGCTTATATGTTTCTTCTTCATATAATTATATAAACAAACTTATAAATGGAACCTTACATTTGCATGTAACAGTGAAATCATGTCAACCTCTAAGAATGGTGAAATTTGGTAGCAAAATCCCTTATCACTGGCATTATGCTTTAATCAGATAAAATCTCAAGTACACAGATCCACTGTTACTTTGGGAGATACTCTGAATATAGAAAATGTTTCAAGAAATTGTCCAGCTTTCTATCGAAGCAGTAAATCCCCGTGTGTGAAATGAATGATGATATCTGCCTCACAAGGACGCTGTGGAAATTCAGTGGGGGCAAGTGTGAAAATTAATCCGCGTGAGAAGGAAACGGGAGCATCCATGCCAGGTATCTAGCACCGGCCCCGGCCCAGACAGACGGCCCCGAAACAGCACTTCCTGCCCCTGGGTGCTGGGGGAGGGTCACAGGGAAAGTACACATTTCACTAAGGCCACAATGATGAAAATGCATGAACTGAAACCATTTCCCTCCACCTTGTTCATTAAAATGAGAAGCCATTTCCTTGTGGAACCCTTTTCAAACGCGCGCGGCAGCACACTCACTCACAAGGCCCCAACACTCACGGCGCGCCGCACGCACACAAGGGCCCGCCTGGGAAAGTGCAGCGCGCCCCGGGAGCTGTCACAGGGGGCCGTCACCATTGCTCCATGCCCACATTCCATCTGCACTTCTTCTCCTTCGTTCACATGCCTTCCTTATCTACAATGTGTGTTCACGTGCTTTACCTGTTACATTGTGAACTCTTTAAGAAGCCCAATGTTCAGCGTAACTGAGGTTCACAATATCTGGTTTGGAAACACATTCCCTAAGCGCTCAATAATTACATTTCTGAAAAACGTCAAAGTGATATAAAATCTATTTATACAAAAACCAGAATGATATAAATATTTGTTCACCCAAATATTCTGTGCATCAAGGTAGAGTATAAACAAATGGACAAAATAAAACATGAACTCAATGATTTAGCTGGTAAATACTTTTTTCTAAATAAGCCTATATACTATAAACTAATTAGAAAAAATAAGGAAACAAAGACGTTTGAAAAGTGTTTCAGCTGACTGTATAAACTGTGAGTGCAGTGTATACATGAAAAGATGCAGCCTCTTGCGTTTACCTGTGTTTCAGCAGAGCTGTGAGGCTCTCGGAATTGAGCTGCTGCATTAAGGACTCCTTCAGTGTGGGCAGCATGGACAGCACTGCGACACAGACAGAAAAGAAAATGGGTCATGGGTGGTTCAGTTCCCTCACTGGGAGGTGCACACTGGTTTAGCCCACGTGACAGGACCAGCAACCAGCCAGGGTTGGCAGGGCAGGGCAGGGCTAAGGTTTTCAAATTAATAGTAGTAATGGGTTATATACCGATAAATCACTTATCTGCTATGTTAAGTGAACAAAATTTTATATATGCTACGACCACGGCAATGTAAGCGAGTACACACAGAACAAGCATGAGAAGAGCCGTTCCCAGGCACTAACAGCGGTGGTCTCCGGGCTACGGACTACACGCAATTCTTTTTTCTCCTCTTTTCTGTACTCTCCAAATTCTCTTTCCAATAAATGTTTACTTCTGATACAACAAAATGATTACAAACAACATTTTTATCTTTAGCTATACTTTTTGCTTCACGTGTTATTTCTAGCTTTAGGAACACATTTATTTATTGAATACTACAGGTGACAAGCATTCACCATAACCAGGCGAAAGTGCATCAGGCTGGGCATGAGGAGCCGCTGAGCTGTCGTTCTGGTTCTGCCGATGGCTACTGCCTGAAACTCCCACGAGTAGCGTGAAGATAAAATATGATATGGTACTTTGTAGAAAAAAGATCGCTGCTAATTTATAGTTGTTTTATTTATGGCTCTATGCATGGTATAAGAAATGCTGAGAAAAAAACGTACACATGTACATTTAAAATTAGTTTATAACACTAAATAAGTAATGATGAAATGAAAAAATGTCAAGACATCAAAAATACCACATTCTAAAAGGGAAAATTTTAGTGTACAATTTTTACTTCTTGACTAAGCAAGACATTAATTACAAAATTCACATTATTTTTTTTATCGAAAGTTCAGCTTTTAACCAACTCCAGACATTTATTTCAGTACTATATGTACTATGTAGCTTCAGTATATTTCCTCAAGCTGTATGATTAAATCACCTAAGCCCAGCAGGGGTGTCCAACCTTTCAGCATCTCTGGGCCACACTAGAATAAGAGTTGTCTTGGGCCACACATTAAACACACAAACACTAATGCAAACTGAGGAGCAAAAAAAAAAAAAAAAAAAAAAAAGGTTTTAAATAAATTTATGATTTTGTGTTGGGCCACATTCATAGCCATTCGGGGCTGTTGGTTGGACAACCCTGAAGGTATTTAGACCATTAACTAAAGTAGCAGTAAAAGGTGACTTGTATCTCTTAAGTCTACTTGGTATTTATATTTGGCCAAACATGATATGTTACTTTACCAAGAAAAAGCAAGGTCAGAGTCCTAGATTCAGCAAATGGAGTCAGTAGGGAACTGATTTAAAGATTATATGGTATAACAATATGATGTGAGAAGAGTCTCTTCAATAACTGATTTACACCGATTTAAAGATTATATGGTGTAACAACATGATGTGAGAAAAGTCTCTTCAACTCTTACCTCTCAGGTAAGAGTTGTTACTTTCCATTTCAGCTTACTGAACCAAGGACAAGTCTATTCCTCAGTTCTAGCCACCTGTATGAACACTGAACAAATATGTTTCTGTATCTAGTTGAATATAGTATTCACGTCTTCTTTTAGCCATCTGGCCTCCATGACAAACAGTCCAGATCAACCACGAATTACAAGAAGGCCCTTCATCAGCCATGAAGCTGTGTGACCCTGAGCAAGTTACTTAATCTCTCTGTGCCTCAGTACACTCTCTAAACTAAGGACAGCACTGGATCTACCTTACGGGATGGTTGTAAAGATGGAGACATACAATGCATTTAGAACAGTGTTTCTTTGCCTGCGGAAATTCTCAGTAAGTGTTGGTGCTTATTGTAATCCTTATTTAGCTTCTTCTGACACTTTCCAGCTTGTATCTTTTCACACGTGAGAGGCAGAAATGGGCCTGTACGACGACTAACTCAAAGCGTGCTGAACCACAGACTTTATTACTGAAGCCTAAGATTAAATTAGTATTTCTAGAAGTCACAGCATGCCAATTGTTCATAACAAGCTTATGCTCAATCAGAATTCCCAGTCCTTACTCATATATCCTGCTTCCAAGCAGGCTTGAGTAATTCTGTATCTGCACAACTGACTTCTAGTACAAACGATTCACCTATCCTAACCTAGCACTCACTTAAGACAAGACAATATTGTATCCTAAAACTTCATTCATGGTGTCAGCTTGCATCCGTGCATGGTGTCATCTGTGCGTTTGATAAGCATTCCTTCTAAATCTTTAGTAAAATCATGAAGAAGATAAAGCCTAAGGTCAGGGCACAGAAGCATTTTATTAGAAGCTATTTTTCAAGTTGGGGATAATTTCTTGAGCAGAAAACTAGTTATATTTACCTAAAAGTACTAAATATTTTTAGAATATCCATTACATCTTATTTAAAATGACAGAAATTTAACCATGACTTATAACCCCCCATTATCAATGCACACCAGAAAGCTAATTTGGAAAGTCTTTCAGTGAACCCACATTCTGGCTCCCAGTGATTACCATATTTTATCTTCGATTGCCTGCAGTCAGCTTTGTATTCATCGAGGGCTGTGATGGTCGTGGAGACGCACTACCACGTCTGCTGCTGGGAGGGGCAGTCAGCTGCCACCCCCAGCTGCCGCCCCTCTGGATCCACTGCCAAGGTGTGTGCGCTGCTCCCAGTCAACGTGAGTGCTGGGGCGGGGGAGGGGGTGAGGCGGGACCAGTTCTGCGGGGCTCCTCTACCAGGGAACCCACTGGCCTGCCTAACTGTCTTAGAACTGTGCTGCAGATGGAGACTCTTCTTACCAAATCTTTTCCTTCTCCCTTTCCCCGCACCGTAGTCTAAAGGAGTGCCCTGCCTACCTCTGCTCCCCTGTCCTCTATTCTTCACAGGTGCTTCCCCAGTTAATCTCTCCCACGTCTCTCTCATCTTGGCATCTGCTGCCCAGAGGACCCAAACGGACACAGGGGTCCGTGTGAACTGAGATGTATTTTGAGACCCCAGGACCTGCCTTCTTCTGTTTTCTGAAAATGTGAGTCAAAAGCCAAACTGGACTTGTTCTTAGTCTCTAAAAGTTCATTAAAATGTCCTTGGTAGCACCACTACATTGAATGCTGAATATCAACTTAAAGGATTATGCCATAAAATGCTACTTACTGAGTATTATATGCCAAGCACTTCATCTGTATTATCTCATCACATTCTCACAAAACATTTCCGAAGTGGGTTTTATGGTGATTGTTTTACACAGGTGAGAACTGAGACTTAGATTTCCTCAGAGACACACAGAGGTGACAAGGCAGAGGCGGGCACCGAAACAGACCGCCTCTCCCCTGAGTTGTGACCTTACTCACTGTGCCTCATCCGGTATTTATGATTAGTACTGGCTTTACAGAATCAAGTGTTATTATTTAAAATATAAAAATCAGACGCCAGCTATAACTTCAGGTGTGTTTCTGAACCTCCTTAATTTCAGCCTCTTTATCTGTTAAATGAAACTAACATCCTTTCACCTCTGGAAAAAAATTCTACTTTTAAAATTGAACAAAGAGAATTCTCCTGTATAAATTCATTCTAAATTGTTTTTTAAAAAATGCTACAGAAAGCTTTAATAATAATAATAATAATAATAATAATAATAATAATAACAACCCCCAAACTAAAACAGGTTTGACATAGATTTGAGAACAAATTCTTTAAGGAGTTGTGCCAATTACAATACAGCTTTTTTTTTTTTTGAATGATTTTTTAATGACATTCTCCTAGTAGCTTGCTGGCTCTGGAGGTTAAATTATTACCATTAGTTAACACTGCTTGAATCTATACTATTGTGCTCGACTTACAGGTCTGCAGTTACCCACTGCAAATTTAACAAACGTATGACTCTTTCCTGTGACCTGTAAGGTCCAATGGGATCGGGCCGACCTGCAGCCCACTCCCTATCGCCCTCGCACCGCTCATTAGTGTAGCAACATGGCCTTTGTGCTGTTTCTTACATGTGCCGAGCTTGTTCTCACCTCAGGCGTGCTGACGGTCTGCAAGGTTCCTTCCGTTGTACCATTTGGTTCCTCCTCGGATGTCACCTCCTCAATAAAGCCTGACTTTCTGACTGCCCTAATCTCAGACAGCAACCCCTCCCTGCTCCCACAGCTTCATTCTCCGCCCAGCAGCCATCACTGCCCAAAGCTATTTATTTGTTGTTTATCATGCTTTTCTCTCACTAGCACATAGACACCGAAGGTCAGGGATTTTTTTTTTTATTGTTTACCTGTTTCCCCAGTGCTGGGCACCCCAAGTTATTTGCTGAATGAATAAGTAAAATGAATGAATAAGCATTTATATTGTATATTGATTTATACTGATTTTTGTAATCCTCACTGGAGGATGTTTTTATTGATTTTAGAGAGGAAGGGAGAGAAAGAGAGAAACATCGATGTGAGAGAAACAATAACGGGATGCCTCCCACACTTACCCCTACCGGGACTTGAACCCACAACTCAGGTATGTGCCCTGACTGGAAATCAAACCTTGCAGCCTTCTGGTGTGTGGGATGATGCTTCAGCCAACGGAGTCAGGGTGATTTATATTGATTTTTAAAATTTACACTAAGAGATGTATTTCAGTTAAATCATGTAATAAATACTTGCTAGATTTTATCATTTTTTACTTTGCCTTTTCTTCTAACATTTGTCCTAGAGGTATGCAAATTAATACAAATCATCAGGTAACTTTATACATGCGTAAATATTTCTCTTTGGCTTACCTGTCATATTGCAAGTCCTCTGGTTACTTTCAAAATGATATTGTCTCCGCGCTTGGGCAATATATTCTGCAGCTTCCTTTTCTTGTATTTCTCTGATTTTCTTCTGTCCATACTTCCCCAGGATATAAGCGCCTAAAATTGTATATTTAAAACAAGCTAGTATATTAATCCAATAATTAGTGTATTAAAAGTTCCAAACCATACTTTTAACCTGCTTTATCGAAATATAAGCCTTATATTAGCAAAAAGCTAAAAATACCTTTAAAAACCTAAATTGAAGAATTATGTAAGAATTGTGACCTAAAGAGAAGGAAAAGGAGACTGTCATTTTAACAGCCAATGTAGACAGGTACTTAAGGACTAGGTCTGAAAAACAAAGGGATTAAGTCTACAAAGTCTGGCAATGCCTTTAATTGTAAGCAGGAGATATTCTACACAGCCAGCAATAGGGAATTGCTCACATAAATTAAGGTCTATCCACACAGTAGAATCTGATGTGGCTATTAAAAACTACATGACTAAATAGTTAATGGCTCAAGGAAATATCCATGTTGTATTATTATACAATGGAATAAGATCCCGGAAGGCTTGCAATACACAGAAAAATAGGTGGGTTTTCATTTCTAACATATAATAAATAATTATCATTGTTGAATAGTGGGACAGGAGGTGATTTTTCTTTGTTATTTTCCTACCACTGGATGGCTAAACAAACCTCTTTGAGCACGCATGTTGATGTCTAGCTTTCAAACCTGTCAATATATGTCTTCTAAGTCCTTCCTTGATTTTTTATAACTTTACATGCTATCTGCCAGTTTGATGTATATGGCATTTTTTAGCTCTTATTATTTTGAATTTTAATTATTTGTATATTTGTTGCTATGTTGTGAACGTTGTGTGCCCTGAATTCACATATCGGAATCCTAATGCTCAATGTGATGCGTTAGGAGCTGGAGTCCCTGGGAGGTGCTTAGGTCATGAGGGAGGAGCCCTCTGGAATGGGGTCAGTGTCCTTAGAAGACAGATTTCACAGAGCCCCTCCTGCCCCATGAGGATACAACAAGCGTGCAACTTGGAAGCAGGCCCTCGCTTAGCCATGCTGGCACCCCGATCCTGGACTTCCAGTCTCCAGAACTGTGAGAAATAAATTTGTTGTTTATAAGCTGCTCAGTCTGTGGTATTTTGTTACGGCAGCCTGAATGGACTAAGACACTATTTTTCATCCCCACCTGATCATAGTGTCCACAAAGGCAAAGTGGTATAGTGTGGCAAGAGAATGTGCTTTGGGATCCAACACACCTGGGTCTGAATTCTAGCCTTCTCATTACTAACTCTGAGACCCTGGGCAAGTTTCTTAATATCTTAGGGCTCTAGTTCCCACATTCTTGAATGGGGTAACAATAACTACTCCTGTGGTCATCCCCACTGAATATAAGAGCTTAGCATGGCGCCCGCTGGGCATGCAATAAATGGTAACTCTTACTGTTAAAAATCTCTGTAAATCTTCTATTTCCAATCACATTACCTTCAACACTACAGGCACTTCATAAATATTTCTTAAATAGATGAACTGAAGTGTAACATGTTACAGGACCTCTCCCTTGAAGCAGAAAAAAAATATGAGGCTCAAACAAATACCATAAGGTCATCTTCTTTTTTTCTTTTAGATTAACTTCTGTTTTTAAATTATAGAATGCTAGGATTATTTCCTTTTTCTGTCTCTCTGAACCCCTTTTTCTTTCTCATTCTGCTTCATCTGTAACCATAAAGCTCTCAATAGCTTTTTTGAAAAAATGTATAATTGTCTCATAAGTATCATCTTTTGCTTCTCCTACGATTACTCCTAATCTACTGTTAGATTTTTCCTATAATTTTGAAGGTGTATGCTAGTCTTTCTGGGATTGCTAAAGGGAGATTCTTTCCTTTCCTTTAGTGGTGGCAAAAATACTTTATTTATACTTCTTCCATCACACATGTACCTTTGGCATCTACAAATATTGATAAAGTGGACTTACTGGTCTTAGCATCATCTAAACATACATCAGATGTGAGTGACTGGAAATATCAGAAAGCATTTTAACTGTAAGAATTTCCCAAAAATATTCGATGAAAATTTACAAATGCTCATTATCAAATTATGATAGATCTCAGAGACTACAAAGACTCTCTCCTTGCCTCATCAACAAGATGCCTGTTTTAAACTTTCAAGAGTCAACAGATCTGAATTATTGTTAATTTCAAATTGTTTGGGGGATAATAGAATATAATCCAATAGTAGTAAGAGAAAAGCAACAAATTTTTTCGGGAAACTTCTGTTCTTGTTTTTCGAGTTCTTCTGTAACCAAAGCATGCAGTTAGTAATAATGTTTCTCAAAACATCCCAATTCTAAAAATTTCTTAATATTCCTGAATTTTCTTCTCCTATATCTCACAAGGCTTTTTATTCTCTCCTGTACACCCTTGCTAACTACGACATGGCTGCCATAAGAGGAAAGGGCCTCTCAAGCCCTTGTTATGTTATTGCTGTCTGTTTCTAAATCTCTTTTCAGCCTGTGCAACTCAGTAATGTCAGCTAGATGGGCATTGATCCCAGCCTTGAGGAAGTCTTCAGGTAGGGAAACCACCATCTTACAACATGATTTGTGGCATAGTTCACCAGAATTCTACACCAGAAATGCAGCCAAAATATTTATTTGTGGGTTGTTTTTTTTTTTTTTTTTGTCTAGTAGATACCTCCCAGGCCTTTTGTACAACTGTGCTGTTTTCAAAAATTCAAATTAGCTTTAAGCAACACTCGACATGCAGACTCTAGGTAACTCCTGCAATACAAGGAAATTTCTGCAAAGGGTGAAACAGCAAAGCAAAATACAAGGAGTACCAAATAGAAACAAAGAATCTGAGGAAAACACTAGAAGAGCAGTTAAAAAAAAAAGTGTGTCCCTAAGAGAATGGTGCCTTAAAACAGAAACTTACTCTGACGGGTCCTCCCAAAGTCTGGGAGAATAAAGGATAGGTGACAAATAGGTCTTGGCAAAGGGCACGCAAAAATACTTTATTTATACTTCTTCCATCACACATGTACCTTTGGCATCTACAAATATTGATAAAGTGGACTTACTGGTCTTAGCATCATCTAAACATACATCAGATGTGAGTGATGTATCACCCCCGGTTTCACAACCGGGGAGATGTAGAGAACCTTGGAGGTTTGGGTCCCTACTCTATTGTTGAACATATGTGGTACTATGGTCACCCGGCCTATTTTAGAAAACTGTCACCTCTCTTCCACCCTCTTCTCCCAATGTCCCGTCCCAAGAACTCTTCACCCACCTCCGAGGACCGTGCCCAGGAAGATACACTTCTTTTTGTGACGTTTGAGAAAATTCCACAAAGATCTCAGCATCTTCAGTCCCTGGGGTTGCGGGCTGCCTAGGGGTGGGGGCTTAGTGCACCAGGAAACCCTTTCTTTGTCACCTGGACGACTCGGCAGGACCGCGGTGGCCTCGCTCGGTGCTATCCAGAAATCACAAACGCAACTTCCCGCTGGGACTGTCACCGGAGCGGGAAGGGGGCGTAGACTACATCAGGGCAGTCGCGCTTTCTGGTGCTGCCACCACCCCGCCGTCAACACTCACTGGTCCCAGGCACCCAGGTCCGTCCAGAATTCGCTCCCTTGTGCTTCGCCGTTCGACTCCCCCGGAAACGGTGGCTGCACACGCCGAGTTCCGGGCCAGCGCGCCTCCGTCTGGCTGGGAGCGCGGGGGCCCCAGTGCCGGATGGAGGCGAAGGAGGCATCCGAGCCGGCTACCGGCGTTGGGTGCTGTGTGTCAGCGGAGGAGATCGAAAAGTGGATGGAGGAGGCCATGCAAATGGTGAGGAGCCCGGGAGATAGATGCCGGGGGTGGGCACTTGTCCGGCTCTCATCCTAGCCGGATCATTTGAGCAAACGTCCCGGTTGCTTTCTCGTCCTCATAATCGCGATGGCGCCACGTTTTAGGCAAACAGCTGGATTTAGCTTATTCTCATAGTAGCTCTGAGGAAGGAGGGAGGGAAATACGGGAATTGTTTCTTTTTCACTGGCACGAAGTATGCGTCCAATTCCCCTATACAGCTGCTGCGTCCCCTTCTTTACTGAGAACACACTCGCAAACCCGCCAAAGCACATTCTTTTGTGTTTATGACCCCTTGAACCTCTGTAGTGGAAGGAAGGAAGCTGAGGATGTTTCTGGCAGGAAGTACGTAAAAACAAATCCCAGTATAGTCAGAGTCTACTTTCCTTCCTTCCTTCCATGTATCCATCCGTCCGTCCGTCCTACTGCCTTCTGTTCTTTACTTCCTTTTCTCGCTCTGTCAGGACTGTTGAGTAAGGAGGGCTCTAATCAGATTTGTGTGTAATCCAAGTTTTACCCATACTTATGTGTGCCAGCGAGCTCTTTAATAGGGATAGAAGTGCACTTGGCATATGTATGTATCTAAATACAGGCGCACGTACACATGTACTTATGTGAAATGCCCTTCAGTTTTACATTTCCCTAAAGCTGCTCTAAAGAAATCTTTTCCATAACATGTTTTTGATTATATTTATCCTATCCTTAATGGTCTCTGGACTCCTATAGCTAATTAATTCATAGTTATGTCTTCATTCACTGCACAAATGTTTATTGAGTGCACATGTGGCTATTGAAATTTAAATTAAGAGGAAATAAAATGAAATGTTCAGCTCTTCAGTCACATTAGTCACTTTTCAAGTACTAAGTAGCCACATATGACCAGTGGCTACCATATTGGACAGCACAGATCAAAGACGTTTCCAATATGACAAGAGGTTCTGTTGGATAGCACTGGTCTGAAATGGCCACAATCCCATCTGCAATATATAAGAAAGTTCTGTGCTACCCCTATTCCCACGAGCTCTGAAACGATCACTTTCTAATATTTGGCAATGCTTCAGGTGAGCAGCAACAACTGTGTAACTTTTTTGTTGTCAGAGTTATCGAACTTTGAATAAACTATTGTTTTGTAAAATCACTACTTTTCATGACAGTTTTCTTTTGAAGAACTAAGCATATAATGAAGTTTATTGTTTTCATCATCACAGCATCTAATTCTAAGGGTATAGGCTTGGAAACAAATATAAGAATAAGTAACAACACTGCACTCTGACTAGGTTTTAGACACAGTGCTAGGCACAGTGTTTCCTGTGGGCCATGATATGTAAGTTCCACATACGAGGTACACGGTATCACTGTCCTCATTTTCAGGTGGAGACAGAGATGTAAATCATTCCCCAGATCTGGAAGGCTGGTGAGGACGAGGCTCTGTCAGCCATCTGTTCTCGTCACAGCCTGTACTGCATGCACTGTGTTTGGTTGCCCCCTGCTCTCCAGCATACACTCTGCCGGATCTCTCTGCCTTCTTACTTTCATTACCCTGACCTACTGTGTACTGAGGTTCCGAATTAGATGTTTGAATTTTTTTTCCTTCTGTGAATTGCCCAGACATATGTGCTGTCCAATTTTATTATTAGTTTTATTTTTTAAATCATGTTGTAGAAATAATTCACAAGGAAGTAATAGAGATATTAGTGAAGATATGGAGGGAAGTTCACTCCTTTATAATAGTAGGGATCTGAAATAATGTGAGTGTCAAACAATAGGGGCCAGTTAAGTGAATCACATATTCATACAGAGGAACACTGTGCAAGCTTAAACAATAAAACCATGTGCTGAAAATATTACCCCAAATAGGGAAATGCATTTATTTCTAAGTGGAAAAGGTGGACTGCTAAAATGTATATATAGTATAAATATATTTGACTTAAAGAAACTACAGGTGTGTATATGCAGGCATAGAAAAAAGCTTGAAAATCTTCTGCCACAGAATAGTAACTAAGTGTTTTTATTTTTTGATGTGTGGATTTTTTACCCCCCAGGTTTTCTGCCTTGAACATATCTTATTTTATAATTAACAAAAAACAAAGATTGAGTGTGTGTGTCTATCTAGATTTATCTACCTATCAAGAAAACAAGTGTTCTAGACTAAATCCATTATTTATTATTATAGTGTTGTTTTTCTGGGTGCCTGGTGTTACTACAGCATTGTGCTAGGTGAAATCAAGCCGTGCACTAATGAAAAAGTTAGTGAGTAATATGTCCAGGTCCAAAATAAGACATAGATATAAAGTGCCATCCCATAATAGGCAACAAAGTCCTGAGTGAGTCAGCCTACATCAATTTGGGGATGCTTACTGAATTTTAAAAAGATAAAAGGGATATGGGTCGGTGGAAAGGAAGGGACAGGTTGATCAGCACAGAGGAACTGGCAAGTACCAAGAAATGAAGGACTTTGCCTTTGGTTCGGAGGCCATCCAGCTGTGTAGAACAGGGCTTCCTAACCAGGGGCCCAGGTTTTAGGGGATCTATAAATCCCGAAACTGTGTGTAACAACATTATGAGCATATGCCTGTTTGATGTGAGAGACCCTGCAACTTTCATCAGATTCTCAGATAACCAGGGACCTAGAAGAACAAGGAAAAGCTGGGCTGGTTCTGTTGGCTGGAGGGGAGGATGGCTGGTAGTTGGGAGGCTCTTAGTGCCAGGCCGAGGAGTTTCAGAGGAAAACAGAGCTTGTGAGTGTCACTAACCGTAACTGTTATAGTGTAATCTTTTGGATGTCCTTACTTCCTACCCAAGACTTGATCTGGCTAAATTGTTTCTTCGCTGGATTTTTTTTCTTTCATAGGAAGTATATCTGGGGAGTCATCAAGAGTCTGTGCAAACTGCAGTCTGTCCCCCGTCTCCCCTAACTTTACTACCCCTCACTGGGAAGTAGTTTATAGGCATAATGACTTTCAAGAAACCACAGTCTCTTCCATTCTGGATCTGTCATTATCTGTAAAAATAGGCCCCAACTAGAGCAAAATAAATGGCATTTAAAGACAAAGAAGGGGCCAGTGATTGGGCTGGGAAGAAGAGAGATTTCATTCTTTAATTGTGAAAGCTGCTAATTTGTTAATTATGGAAGACCAATTTGCTGTTTTAAAAGTAATTGAGCTTTGTCCTCTCTCCTAAAAAATGAGATAGTTAAAACCTCCCTACACACATTTCAGACCCATTTTGCCCGAGTTCTTTTACATTCATAAAGCAATGATCAGACTTGCCAGGAGAGGGGATAGGAACATTAGAAAATGAGATGGGTGGGTAGAAGATTATTTTCAGCTTAATTAAGTCTATTTTGAATTTAACAGCAAAGCAAATATATATATTTTTTACTTTAAAAAAAAAGATTTCATGTATTTATTTTTAGAGAGAGGGGAAGGAAAGAAGAAAGAAAGGGAGAGAAACATCAATGTGTGGTTGCATCTTGTGCACCTACAACTGGGGACCTGGCCTGCAACCCAGGCATGTGCCCTGACTGGGAATCAAACCAGTGATTCTTTGGTTTGCAGGCCTGTGCTTAGTCCACTGAGCTACACTAGCCAGGGCACAAATATATGTATATTTTTATATATGCATATATATACATATACAGTTGACCATTGAACAACATGGGTTTGAACTGCACAGATCCGTTCATAGGATTTTTTCAATTGATCCTAGCAGTTCAAATGCATGTGTTTCAAGGGTTCAGAATCTGCATATGAGAAGTGGGAAACAGTAAAAGGAGATACATTTTCTGGAAGGAAAAAGAAAAAATCCATAGGCAAGCACAAAAGGCACAAGCCCAGCCACCTGGAGGCCCAGGTGGAGAGAGCTGCCAGGCCTCTGCAGGGTGCCCCCCCGACCACTGTCTTCCAGGTGAGCAGGTCAGGACCCACAACCCCACTGGCTCTCCCTCTCCACTGCTTCCCACTCCCAATTGTAAGCTCTTATTATTTGCAAGCTCAGAATCAGAACACTTGCAATGTAGCCATAACAGTCTGTTGGAATAGAAGCTAGACGTTTAACCTACAGAGAAGTCCCTCTTCCAGCCACTGGTTTTCATTCCCATCACTTCCCAAACTGCCTCTGCCTCACTGACTCTTCTTTCTTGGCCCGTTTTTTTCTGGGGTCTTTGCTAACACCAGACACTCCCAGTTTTCCTCCTACCTCACCAGGCATCTCTCAGTCTGCATTCCAAGGTGCTTCTCATTTATTCCACCTTGAAAAAAAATTTTATTTTGAAATAATTATAGATTCACAGGAAGTTGCTAAAAAAAGTGTAGAGGGAAGCCCACATACCTTCACCCAGTTTCTTCCAATGGTCACACTTCACATGACACGAGTACAGTATCGAACCCAGGAAAATGGCATTGATACTGTCTGCGAGTTTATTCGGCTTTCCTCAGCTTCGTGTGTGCTCGTGTGTGCGTGCCTGTGCGTGTGTAGTTCTGCGTAACCTTGTGTCATGTTCAGTTTGTTTATTTACCAACGGAACTGTTCCAGGTTCCCTGGTGCTGCCCTTTGTGGCCGCTGTCCCCTCCCAAACCCTAAGCCCTGGCAGCCACTAGCTGACAGCCACTAGTCCGTTCTCCGTACCAGTAGGTAACCTTTTAAAGATTTTTGTTTTAATTCAACATAATTTCCTTGAGATCCATCCAAGTTGTTGAGCCAGTCAATAGTACAGTCCTTTTTATTGGGGTGCAGTTTTTCCATGGCAGAGGTGTGCCACAGTTCCTTGAAGTATTCCCACTGAAGGACATTGGGGTCATTTCCAGTTTTTGGCTATTCTGAATGAAACGCCTACAAATATTCATGTCTATATATGAAATGATCTATTGTATGAACCTAAGATTTTATTTTCCTGGGTAAGTAAATGTGCAAAAGTGTGATTTCTCGGTTATACGTTTAGTGCATGTTTAGCTTTTTAAGGAACTGCCAAACTGTTTTCCAGAGTGGCTGTACCATTTCACATTCCTGTGATCCTGGTTCTCCACAGCCTCGTCAACATTTGGCGTTTTTTTACTTTCCATTTTAGGCATTCTGGTTGGTGTGTAGTGTGGTCTCACTGTGGTTTTAATTTGCATTTTCCTAATGGCTAATGATGTGGACGTCTTTTCATGTGCTTATTTGCCATTTCTATGCCTTCTTTGGCGAACTGTCTGTTAACATACTTTGCCCGTGTTCTAATGGGCTTGTTTGGGCTTTTTTTAACTTGTTGAACTTTGGAGAGTTCTTTACCTAGTCTAGATACTAGATCTTTGTTCTGTATGTGGTTTGCAATTATCTTCTTCCAGTTTTAGTTTGTCTTTTCTTCCTCTTAGTGGTGGGTATTAGATTCCTATGGCTTTCATAACAAATTATCACAAACTTAGTGGGATAAAACAACACAACTTCTTTCTGTTATAGTTCTGGAGGCCAGGAGCCTGGAATCAGTTTCTCTGGGCCACAATCAATGTTTCAGCAGGGCACAGCGCCCTCTGGAGGCTGTGGAGGATATGTTTCCTTGCCTTTTCCAGCTTGTAGAGCAGGGACTTGCAACCTTTTAAAAAATCTCCCGGCACACGTAAACTAATTACTAAATTTTTGTGGCACACCAAAAATGGTATTACACTTTTTGCCAATCTGACAAAAAAAAGGTAAAATTTTTATTCATTCACAGTGGACAGCTACTATTGTGTTGGCTGTTGTCTTTTTTTTTTTTTTTTTTAATTTGACAACCTAAGGGAAAAGAGGTCAGCCCCCCGACTAAACAGCCAGGCATGCCTGTGTTGACAGTCTGGAAGCACACCACTTGGAAACTGCTGTTCTCGAGGCACATCCCGTGCTTGGCTCATGGCCACCTCCATCTTCAACGCGGACAGCAGAGCATCACCCTGCTTTCTGCTGCTGGTGTCAAATCTGTCCCTGCAACTGTGTGGTTGCAGGTAGGGCCACCAGGGCAAGTTCCTTATGTCAAGATCCTCAGCAAACATTGGTTGGACAAATACATGATCTGTCTCTCACGAGTACCTGGGGTTATGTGTAATTCCAAGGTTATTTTAAATTACATTCTTGGTGTGACCACACTTAGCTTCTCCACCTTCCCCCACTGCCAGTCCCCCTCCTGGCTTCCTTTCAGTAGTAGCCTGTGGTGCGTTTGCACTATTTATTTGTATGTATTCACCAAATCTTGGAACTCTTCAGACTTTCAAACTTTGTGTAAACTGGGCATGCTTTCACCTTTTTTCCAGACCTGGGATAGAATCAGCCTTTGGGTAGTTTGTGTTACAGTTCTGAGGAATGCAGTCTTACTGCTTCAGAGACCGTCACCTTACATCTCTCCAGCCTACCACTGCAGAGGAGAGAGGGGAGGTACAGTTGGCTGCCACTGGTGTGCCTCTCCTTGTCCCCTTACGGCCAAGTGAAAAGTGTCCGTTGAGCATGCTTGAAGTTGCTCAGTAACCCATGCTAACATTGTGATAGGACGTTATCGCTACTATAGATAAAGTAGAGCCGGGAGTAAGAGGCTAGTGAAGGAGAAAGAGCGCCATTTTCGGCATTGTCTTCAACTTTGCACCACATGTGCCGTATGGTGTGTGTATTCATGTCCTACACTTACGTGGATCGAGGCTTCCGAAGTGTCCTGTGACCTGCCGAAACAAGAAATGCTGCCCTTTCTGCAAATGGCTGGTTTGGGATTCTTTTAACTGTAGTGAGATGGAAATGGGTGCGCACTAGCCCAAGGGTCCCACCCTCCTTTTATTCTTTCTCACTGGCAGCCCCAGGATGTACACAGATGCAACCTGCGTACTTTGGCCATCTGCCCGGAAAAAGTATTCTTTCCCGGTCCTGGGCCCCGGAGCTCCTGTGGTTCGCAAAGCGGAAGGAGAAGAAAAATGGACAGTAGGTGATAGAGGGAGGCTTTGCGGATGCAATAGGTTGCCGTTCCGACGATGGTGGTGGTGGGATTGTGCTGGACTTATTTTCCAATTGAGGTATACTTTCCACAAAGTGATAGTTTACATACAGTGAGATGCACGGGTCTGAAATGCGTTGTTCTTTCCATTTTGAGTGATGCAAACATCCGTGCGACCCACGCCCTTATCGAGATAAAGTCTTCTCCATCCCAGGCAGTTGCTTTATGTCCCTTCCGCCTCAGTTGGTCTTCACATCCCCCTCTGTCACTGTAGCTTCGTTCTGTCCAGTCTAGTCCTCCTCGTGAGGGGAGCCATGCAGTATGTGTGCCTCGTGTTTGACTTCTCCTACCCGGCATGTGTGAGGTTCAGCCCGGCTGATGTGTGTCTGCGTTCGCCCCTTTTCACTGCAGAGTGGTATTCCGCTGCGTGCCGGGACGGCAGTGGGTTTATCCGTTCTTTTGTTGATGGACCCGTCTGCCGTTTCCAGACCTGGCTATTAGGAATCAAGCTATTATGACTATTCTTTTCTTTCTTTCTTTCTTTCTTTCTTTCTTTCTTTCTTTCTTTCTTTCTTTCTTTCTTTCTTTCTTTCTTTCTTTCTTTCTTTCTTTCTTTCTTTCTTTCTTTCTTTCTTTCTTTCTTTCTTTCTTTCTTTCTCTTTCTTTCTCTCTCTCTTTTTCTTTCTTTCTTTCCTTCTTTCTTTCCTTCTTTCTTCATACAGGGTGGGGCAAAAATAGGTTTACAGTTGTTCATAAATAATAATGCAGAAACAAACTCTGTATTTCGTATACTCACAATGGTCAACCTACTTTTGCCCCACCCTGTGGAGTCCCTTTTCAAATAAGTAGGAGTGGAATTTGTCCATAGGCGATGGGTGTGTACTTTTAACTTCCACAATGTCCTCCAAAGTGCTGGTGCTATTTCACCTCCAGCGCTCCCCACTTTTCATGTCTCCCTTAGGACGCGAATTGGGGGTGCAGGGGCACCTCCATTCTGTCGCTTAAGTGTTATTGGGACTCTGGAGGATATTTGCTGTCACTTTTAGAGAAACCAAATTAAGCAAGTAGAATTTCAAGAAGGAAAGAATTTTAAGAAAGGGTTTATAAATATTTTTTCTTCTACCTCTTTGCAAATACATATACTCTCTCTGAAAAGGAACACAGACCCTGGCAATTTAAGAACAAGAGTCAGTATTAGTCTTTTGATCCCCTCTGCTTCCAATGAGGGGGAAAAATCAGGGGCTCAGGACCTAGAAACAGGATTTTTTTGCTGAGTATCCCTTAGTGTGGATGCACAGGGAACCAAGGAGCTCAGTCCTGAACTCTGTTTGAGGACCGGGAAAGGTCAGTTGCCTTTCTTTGTTGGAGTGTTAATTATGTGTCTACTGCTCGTGCTGCATCTGTTTCTTTCCTGTAATCCTTTCAAGTATTGAACATCACGTGTGAGACTTTCCACTTGTTTTTCAGGCCAGAGAAGCCCTAGAAAATACCGAAGTCCCTGTCGGCTGCCTTCTGGTCTACAACAATGAAGTTGTGGGCAAGGGAAGAAATGAAGTCAATCAAACCAAAAACGTGAGTGCGTTCAATGGGACAACTGGCGACTCAGGGCAGTGATGGTGGGAGTGGAACGAGGTTGTCACCGTGGGTGACAGGGGTGTTTGTACAGTCCGAGAGTCTCAGTGGAAGGGTCGTTTCCCTGAACATCTTGCTTTTTTTGTTTTTAATGCCTTTTTCTCTGATTATAAAAGTGACACATGTTGACTTTTTAAAATTTGGAAAATTCAGAAAGATTGAATGAGCCCATAAAATCTTTGGAGCTAATATTCTATTTTATGCAGCTTTACATTTGCGCTTGAGTGAAACCTAAGGGACGACTTTATTACACTGGGGCATCAGTGTGGGAGAAAGGAGTCCATCTCCATTTGAAGCAAATCTAATATATGAAAACTCCACTTTACAGAACATACCAGTTTAACTCATATTGCATTCCTTAGGAACTTTGAATAATGTGTTGCTCCTAGCAAATGGAAAATCACCCTCAATTTATAACTTTGGAGGTAAAACAATGTATAAAGAAGCTATTTCCATTTCAGGTAGTTCAGTGGAACAAAGTCTCCACTACCTGCTCTCTCTGTACCTGCATGTGGTGTGTACGCTGCCATAGGTTGTGAGACTTTAACTTATTGTGGCTAGGTTGAGGAGCTCGTGAATTAAGGCACCACTTCTTGACTGCTGTATCACAATGGTGTGTCGCAGTAGGGATAAATATAGTGTCAGATTTTATTATTATAAGAAATACTAGGTGGATCAGGGAGCGCCTATCACCCTCACACCCCCACACAGGCTTTGGTCTTGTGGTGTGACCTTGGGAGCCAGGGCACAAGCCGGTGTTGGTACCCGTGCTCCGTGGATGTTGAAGTTCATCCATCACATGCACCAAAAGGAAAACTAAGACTTAGCGAAACACGTGCAATGTGGAAATCCAGATTCACAAAGTCATTATGTGGATGTCAAAATACCTGTGAGATAAGTAATAGAGATAATACAGCAACTAGCGAATATATAGATACTTATATTTGGGAGTAGAATTTTGTATTTGAGACAATTGTTGTATCACCCTATTCATATTTTGTCTTGTGGTACAATATCTTTAATGTGAGAACTTTGTCCTAATGACATCCATCTAACCGCCAATGACTTGGGTTTCTTCTTTACCTTGAAATGAACCCGGATGTTCATATGTTGGCATTCTGTGTCCTATAGGGGATTGTCTGAGAATCACAGTATAGGAAGACATCTGATCCCAAATGGGGAGGGCTTTTGGCTCTGACCTCACCCACTCCCCACCTGCTGGTCACCACCGCCAACACCTGTCCAACTTGTGTGTCTTTAATACATGCTAACAAGGCTGGTTCTTGAGCCATAAAAGAGGAAGCTGATTGAAATGATTCGGTTCAACAGGCACTTATCGAGAACAACGGGGAGATTTGATTTAGTCATTCTGAATCTGATTTTTAAAAACCGCTCCAGTTGGGCAAACTTATTTTTAAGCTCCCCCTTTGGTTCTGGTCGGCCCCCAGGCTCGGGAACCTCTTCTCTAAAGTGCCTTCGAGCTCTGAGTTTGTCCTTCTGGCCTTCACGGTGCTTGGGCCACTGCCCCAGCACTTCTCATGCCCTGCCCTGTGTCACAGGTCGCCTTTCTGCTGCCCTGCCAGACTTAACACTTGTTGAAGACAGAGGCGTCTTATTCCACACAGAATTTAGCACAGTGGCTTGTGCATAGGTAACACTCAGTATAAGTTTGTTGATAAATGTGATGACCATGAGTATTATAACTAATTGTCACATAACAGAGTATATATGTAGCATTGGATGGCATTAACATCCTGTAATTCAGGTTGCTTTAAGAGCCATAGATACCAGTGTACCCCATTTTACATATGGGTAAACCAAGGCATAGAGAAGGTATGTGACTTGCCCAAGGCCACATAATCAGTAATGCCATGGTCAGGATTCGAACTTAAATGTAGTTGATTCCAACTGCTGTGTCATTTCTCTTGTATTCTACTGCCTGCACGAGGTATCTGAGACCCAAACCAAAAATCTGCTTCTGTTTAAAGTCTGCCAGCATATAAAATCTCATCCCCACAAACATGAAAGTGATGACATTCCCATAAACTAAATATAGATGTGCTTCCAGTCGGGTCAGCGACAGCATTGAAAACACATCTGAAACTGGAGCACGTGCTTCTCACAATTTTAGGCTTTCCCCAAAATGTTCAGAAACGCTAGGCTTACCTTTTTTTTTTTTAATTAAGACCTATCTTCCCTATAGCATTTTAATTGAAAGAGTGTCCCTCAAATTCTTAGGTACTTAACTAAAAATACAGCATAATTGGGACGGCATTTCAGATTAAATGTCTCGTTGGTGAGGTTACGCACCTCTACCTAGGGGTTATGTTGTTAGCTGCTGAGTGTGTCCCGAAACTTCCATTCTTTAAAAACGCTCGCAGAAACAGTAGGCCCATTTTTTGTATTTATTTTTGAGTATTTGGCACATGTCACAAACATTGTCAAGATAAGCTCCTGTCTCTTTTCAGGCCACTCGACATGCGGAAATGGTGGCCATCGACCAGGTCCTGGAGTGGTGTCGCGGCCGCGGCAGGAGCCCCTCCGAGGTGTTCGAGCGCACCGTGCTGTACGTCACCGTGGAGCCCTGCATCATGTGCGCCGCCGCGCTGCGCCTGATGAGTATCCTTGGACCTGGCGTGTTCATGTCTGTGAACTTGAAAGAGGCCAGGCACATAAGCCGTTCCTAATACATGAAAACAGAGACCTAAGAAACAAATTCTAGGAGCTGAACATTATAATCTGTAGCATCCGTTGGTCAAACATTGTTTGAAAAGATTTTTAAATAGTAAAATGACCTCTTTTTAAAAGAGTATCTATAAAGATATAACTAGTAACTAAGGTAGAAAGAGTGGAGCTGAGCACTGATTTGAACTGCTTCGTAGTGGGAAGTCATGATCGAAGGCAACGTAGGTTAGAAAACGGAGCACGAGGGAAGGTCCGAAGAACACGCTCCCGAGTCTTGCCTTTGGAGAACAGACTTTGGTGACTTAAAAATGTTCTTTCTCTGTTTATGTGTTTTTATTCCTCTATTTTTGCCATGAAGACCTTCTACAGGTGTGAACAATTTTCAGTGAGAAGTCAGTACGGAGCGGAAAACCAGTCCCGTGTGAGTGATACCGTGCTGGATGAAGGGGACGCCGGCGGAGCGGCGGCTCCCCGAGGCGTGTCCGTCACGGAGCGACTCAACTGCTGAGCGCTGCCAGCTGGTCTCTTAAGATTTTAACACACTATTTAATAATTTAAAAATTCAGTTTCATCCTTGCATATTTCTATCTACTTATTTTACTGTGTATGTGTGAATCATCTGGTCACTTTAAAGATAACGCAGAGGGATGTGAGTGTGAGAAAAGGTACAGTCTCTACTGTATCGAGAGGGCAGCTCTGGTCAGCAGCATTGCCTCCCCACCCTGCCTTTCGGAGTGACTCGGCTGCAGTCCTTTTTGTAAAGGGGCACAGGTTATCTTTTATTTGAGGGGAGAACAGGGAGCAATATGGTGATTTTAAAAGGTGAAAATCTCTGGATGAAATTCTTGCCTCTTTTCTGGCTACAATCCTCTAATGATCCCAAGAAAACTGATTTAGGAGAAACCGGAGAGAACACCAAAACTGTAAACATTTACCAGCTGCCTATTTAGTTTTCAATATACTTACGGTGGTGGGATATTAATTTCTAAATCCTTCAAACCTCTTTTGTGTAACTGGATTGTATTACTTTCGAGCTGAAGCCTGCACTTAATCGTTTTAAAGAGTAGTATGAGCTTTCCTCCCTGGGATGGCTGGTGTAAGTTCTGCTTGTGTCCTGAACTGCACGTTCTCTGTAGAACCTTAACTCTCTCTCATGAATCCCGCTGGTTGTATATGGCTGTCAGAACGAACGTTTTGGTGGCTGTGGCTCGGTTCTAGATATCGCCTCTGCTGACTTACCAAACACTGGGAGGTCATTTCAGGTAACGTGAACTGTCACACCTTTTCCTTCTTTCTGATTGCCTTGATCTCGTCACGGGCTTGCGAATGGTAAGTGTGTGGTGGGTGTACCAGGAGCCATGCTCCAACCAGACAGGCTCCCAGCACTACTGGTCCAGTTCGTTTGCGCTTCAGTGTTAGGGGCAGGCGGTCACTTCCAGGTGAGCGCCTGGCTCGGAGAGAAGAGAAGCTCTGCTGAAGGCGAGTCCCCAGCCTTCCAAGGTGTCTTCGGACAAGCTTCATCCAGGCCTCCAGGTGTGTCTGAAGGCCTGGCCGCTATCAGCGTGCTCCCGGTAAGCAGTCCCCAGCTCTGCGCTGCCCTGAGTTTGTGGGACGCTTGGCCTCTGCCGGTGAAGGTAGATGCCATTGACTGTAAACACAACATTTTTGCACACATTCAGTAATTTTGCTTGATTGCTATTTTTGGTGTATAGCACTCAATACCTGTATTTTCATTATATTTTTTTCTGCCTTTGATACCCGAGAGGATGGTTTCAGTGAAGTCCTGGGAGCACAAGCCAGGGAAAATGGGGCTGAGGAGGAAATGAGAGGCCCAAGAGTGAAGACCACGATTCTGGAAAATTCTCAGCAATGAGCAGGGTAGCAGCTTGCCTGGGAGCAGGGTAGAAGGAAGGGCGTTGGGTTTTCCCCCAGCTTTACTGAGATATAATTGACACACGACATTGCGTAAGTGTATGGTGTACATCTTGCTTTGATAGACATACTTATTGTGACACGTTTACCACAACGAAGTTAACACATCCTTCACCTCACATAATTGCCATTTTGTTGTTGTCATTGTTATTCTGAAACATTTAAGCTCTACTGTCTTAGCAACTCTCAAGTATACAGGATGTCACTGTTAACTACAGTCACTCTGCTGTGTCTTTGATTCCTGGAACTTAATCCTCTTAGGATGCGAAGTTTGTAGCCTTCGGCCAGTGTCTCCCCATTTCTGCCACCCCTGTGTTCCCGGCAACCACCATTCTGCTCTCTGCTTCCAAAAAGAAAATAGGATGTGAACATACATGCAGAATATTATTCAGCCTTAAAGAAGGAGGAAATCCTGCCATTTGGATAGACAAATATGGATGGACCTCAAGGGCATTATGCTGAGTCAGACAGAGAAAGACAAATACCACATGATCTCACTTATATGTGGAATTTAAAAACGTTGAACTCTTATTTGTTTTGATAGGGAAGGTTTATGTAGCCTCCGTAGGCTCAGGCCAGAGCTGACTGCAGGCGCAGGAGAAGGCTCCTTCTGAGCAGCGGACCGTGCCTGCCAGTCCTCCCTCTCCTGCTTGCTGCGTCCACATGCGCCCCCCTGAAACCTCTGCTCATTGGAGCTTTTCATGCCCCCTCAGAAGGGTGCAATGTAGCAAGTCCAAACTCCTGTGGTGAGCCTTCCAAGTGCTCTGTATTTTGACCTTGTTTTATTGCTTTAATTTTTTCCTTGTACTCCCTTAATACCTCTACCCCCACCAGCTGGTTGCCTCACATGCGACCCATGTTTATTCTTACTCTTTCCCTGATGTGCTCTGTTCAGCCTCTTTAAATACCCTCTGTCATTAAAGCAAGTTCAAGTTTCAAGTCCTTACTGTTATCACAACTTCTTATTCTTTCACATGTTGTTCTCTTCTCCCAAATTAGATACCAAAGATAGAATAAACTGAACACTTAAAAAAATCCTCTATAGTAAGTAAGGGTTGACAATTTTTTTTCGTAAGAGCCAGATGGTAAAAATTTTAGCCTTTGAAAGCCATTTATGTCCCTGTCACATATTCTTTTTTTTAACAACCCTTTAAAAATGTAAAAACCCCTTTTTGCTGTTCACTTTTAGCTGTGGCCAGCCATAGATGTACAGCATCAAACATTTAATGGGCCACCAGTAAAGGAGAGCAGATACAAGTAGCTAATGCACAATGAGCACTTAGATGTACCGGGTGCTTAACAGGTGTTACTTTATTTATTTTTATTTAACCCTCACAAAATCCTTCTGGATTAATTGCTTTAATTCCCTACATTTTACATGTGAGGAAACTGAGGCATAAAGAGTTTAAGAATCTTACCCAAGATCACATAGCTAGTAGCTTTGATAGCTGCTACTGGAGAACTAATAGTTGACTGGGAGTAGAGTTTGACAGGCCACCACCCAGCTATTCTTTTGGAAATATGCTTCTCATGTTACTAATAGCTGCAGAGTGTATCAACATCTGAAAGATGTTTACATAATTATGTGTATATTGCTTTTTTATGGGTTACGGCACATATTTTCATAGGCTTATGTTCATTCTCAACTTTCTCGTTTCATCAGTGCATTCCTGGCTACCGGGCCGAGGAAGCAGTGGAAATGTTAAAGAACTTCTACAAACAAGAAAATCCAAACGGTCAGTTTTCCCCTGCTGTGTACAACGTCCCCCACCTGAAACAAATCAGTGTGAAGAGAGTCTGACTGGGGCTGACCTCATTTTCTTTTCTCCCCCCTTCTTTTCGCAGCACCCAAATCAAAGGTTCGAAAAAAGGAATGTCAGAAATCCTGAACTTGACCTAATGAAGGACTAATGAATGCCACTGGATGAAATTCATGTACTGAAAGCTGGCGACCTCATCAAATCATGTGTTATATATTGTCCTTAACCCATGGGAAAAGGATCTTTCATCATTTCCTGTTAAAGGAACAACTTAGCACTTTTAAAAAGTCTGACAATTGTAATCAACTACTACTACAACTAGTGTTTCCGTGAGCTGAAAGACTATTTTGAAAAGGGAAAAATTAAAGATTGAGGCGACAGAAATCAGTAAGCAGTGCAGTGCACTTCCTGCCAAAGGGTCATGCCCAGTCCTGGGGAGTGCTGTGAGGAGTGAGCATCCAGACTCAGTTACTGGCGTGTCCGGACGGGGGCGCTGCTGTGGACACTGAGTCCGCGCCCGGCATTTCGGAAGCGAGTCTTCCTTCCTTGCAGCCTCTACGCTCTCCCAGGGTGCTGGGGGCCCGCGACTTCCCTTGGACATTGTACATGAGTTGTGTACATGCAGACCAGGATTGTAAAGTCCTCAGAACAGACTTTTTACCTTTATAAAAACACTTAGAATAAACGCCTATGGTAAAACAAGTGCTAAAACCTTATTTGTGCCTTTTTGGGAGATGGATAGTCTTAAAAATAAAAGATAAAAAGCACAAATGGGACAAGTCCTTCTTTGTCCCTGAGCAACTGCACTGTGAATCAGGGAACAAAACAGAATCTGGCCCTGGTGGAGCAGGGAGATGGGTAACAATCAGAACAGCATGTTAGGGGGTGACATAGATTATGGCAAAAAGAACGGGCAGGCCACTGGTGGTGAGTCTGCTGGTTGCACAATTAAATAGCATGGTCAGTTTGGTCTGAAATAGAATACAGTTCTTTCTCTTTATAAAAACCCAGATTTAGAATTTGAAAATCTAAAGTGGTGAAACATGAACACAGCCCTGGACAGGGTGGCGCAGCAGGAACTCCCAGATACTCTCGCGGGCTGACTACGGTAAGGCTGGTGCGGCTTGAAGGGCAGCTTTGAAGAGCCGGGCTGCGGTGCACCGCGTCCGTCCGCCCAGAAGGGGGCCTCGCCGTTCCACCAGAAGCCCCGCTCCTGGTCCTGGACCGAAGCTCCTCAGCTGCATTTCTTCACTAGATTCATTTCCTTGATGCAAAGCATCTGTATTTGTTGGTTCTGCAATTTGAGCGATGTCTCTGACTTGTTTGTTTTGAATTACATTACAGGCTGGAATGTAATTGTGGTGAAAGTATTTTTATATTGCTGAGAGTAGCAGCTAATCACAGTTACATGCTTCGGAGGATTTATAATTGCTTGATTTTGTATGTGTGTGTTTTTAACTGCATTTGAATTTTATGGAGAAGAATAGGCATGATTTTAAATCTATAATGATGTTACATGTAACTTCTCTTCAATTTCACCTGCTTTGAAAATTATCCTCTCATTAAATTTTAGTGCTTTGACTACTTGATTCCTGTTTGCAGTTGGGCATAATTCATTTCTGGCTCCTTGTGGTTTTCTGCAGGCGGACTCCATTGTGCATGTTGTCCTCATGTCATTTTCTGGGGGGTTATTTGTAGACAAAGATGCCTGGACTCTTTCCTCTAGAGAGCACCACCCAGTATGTCTGGCCAAGCCTCTGATGTCAAGTAGGTTCTTAGTAAACATGGGTTAAATAAAATTATTGATTGAAATTTGAGGAAAAATGAGTGATGAGAATATTTAGGATGAAAAGCCAAAAGTCGCATACGGTTATTTTACCCCAGAGATAGTGACTACTGAAAGGATCTAGAAAATAATAAAACAATAAACAGGGAAGGATAGAAAAGACTTACTAAGGTACATATGCTCTGTCTATGCTGTGTTTTGGAGAATCGGTATTTCCTAATTCCCAAGCTTGACTGAAAATTTTAATTTTGGTTATGATCTTTTTGATTATCTAGTGATTGACTTATGGAAAAGTCTCCTAAATTTTTGGTCTTAGGCACGGTTTCCTTTTTTACTTTGTGGCGGGGGCAGGGTGTGGAATTGGTTTAGACGGTGTGTTGCAGATTGAAGGTCGGCACCTCCAGTGCCATAACAGGATCATTACAGAGTCACAGACATTAAGGCTGTGGGATTCTGACAGTTTCAAGGCTGCGAGACTCTGACACCGTTTCCAAGGTGGTGGTTAGGAGTCGTGGGTGTCTGATGAGGTGCTGCTTTGTGAGTACCGTATTCTCCAGCTACTTAAATGTGGCTTAAAATATTAGGATGCTCCCATTCAGAACACTGACTCCAGTTGATAAGTACAGTTAGCGCCTGTTGAAGAGACTAGAAGAGAGACTTGCTCTGTGTACAAGACAATTCGGGAAGTTGTGGGATGCAAAAAGGTTTGAGCATCTCTACCCTGTTGAGAGAAGCTATTGGGAAGGGATGGCATGTAAGTCACTGGAGTATCTGGTGTTCACTGGTTTTTGCAATGGACCCTGCTGAGAATGGGCGGTATGTAATGCTTTGGCAGGCTTCAATCACTGATAAAAGACATGTTAAAATATCTTTGCATTTTCTTTTTTCTTGGCGCAAGCATCTCTTCCTGTGTTGTATTTGGAATATCATGGAGAGAAATTAGACGGCCAAGAACTCCAAAGTAGGCAAGAACTGTTAATTTTTCCTTAAACTCTCTATTTGGAAATAATTGAAAACTTACAGAAAAATACCCATGTATCCCTTATTCTTCAAACCTATTGTTAACAACTTTTCTTGCTCTCTTTATGCTCTCTATTCTCTTCCTCTATTCATATATAATTTTTCTGAACCATTTGATAGAAAGTTACATGCATGTATATCATGGTCCTTTACACTGAATGTTTCAGTATTTCCTAAACATAGGGGTAGTCTCATATAATCACAGTATAGTTACTGATGTTAGTAAATTTAATGTTAACACGTTACTGTTATTTAGTATGCCATTTGTATTCCAGTTTTGTCAGTGACCTCATAATGTCCTTTAGAGAATTTCCCCTGCCCTACCCCTGCCATAGTAAATCCATTCTGGTCAGATATCACATTTAATTGTCATGTATCTTTAGCTGCTTTTAGTCTATAACATGCCCATGGCCTCTCTTTGTTGTCTATGACATTTTAAAAATCATACAGTCCTCCTACCCTCCCCTTCAACTTTGCTTCCTTCCCCCTCTCCCTCCTTCCTTCCCTCCCTCCTTCCCTCCCTTCCTTCCTTCCAAATTTTCTCATGATTAGATTCACGTTATGTATTTTAAGTGATGCTGTGTTCTCACTGTGTCACTTCTGGAGGTGCCCAAAAGCCGTCTTCCCTCAATAGTGATGGTAACTTTGGTCGCCTGGTGAAGGTGTTCTCTGATATCTACACTATCAATTATTGTATTTTCTCTTTCCAACAAATAAGTAGTTTGGGGTGAGGAACAGCTGTGTTTAAAAAAGTATATTTGACATTGATGGAAAGGAGGGGAAGAAAATGATATAAATTTCAAAGCAACTGTTAAACTATTTGATTGCATGCTTTCTCTTTCATGTTTGCCAAAAATTCCCTGAGAATATTTTAAATAGGGATGTCTTAATAAAAATTTAAAGGAAGCCTCAGACATAAGTTTTTTCTTTCTTGATCTCAACAAAACTGATTATTATATTGACTTAATTATATCTGATAAAAAACAGAGTTTTGGGAAAATAGGTCTAAGATGTTTTTGGTATCATAGATGGCCTGTAGTGATCCGATAGGTTGTATAATTCTAGGTAGGTAGTTATTTGGCCACAACATAGGAGATTTCTTGGGTTTCCATAGAGACACCTAGTCTTAAAATGTTTCAAGCACTGCTACTTTTAAATGAGTGTTGGTAAAAATAGCAAAAGCCAAGGCTCTTTATAAAAAATTATTAAAAACTTGTTTTAAGTAGTGAGGTTCCCAGTTAAAATCCACTGTTGACGCCAAAGCGTGTCCGTCCCAGTCCTCCTGCAACAGCTGGGGAAGAGGCACCAAGAACTGGTTTCCCTGCCTTTTGGCAAAGGAACGAGACTCTGTTGACTTCATCCATGAAGGCAGCTGCCAACTATTTTCTTGCTCTGTAACTGTTAATTGCATGTGGTGAGGAAAGGAGTGATGGGTGACGTTATTTTTATGGGTGTAAGTTCTGGTGAAAGTTTGACATCCTTAGGATCCTAAACTTTTTCAAGAAGAGCTAATAAAAACAGGCTCACGGGATTACTTCTTACCTGGTGTTTTAGTGAATATGGGTCTAAAGACTTCGTGGTGTGGTTGAAGGAGCATGAACTTGGGAGCCTAGAGCAGGACTTGGCCAAGGATGGCCCATGGGCCAAACCCAGTCTGCTGCCTATTTTTGGTACCGCTCACAAGTCGAACATGGTTTTTATGTTTTTTACATGTTTGAAAAAAGTCAAAAGAATTTAGTGACCTGTGAACATGAAATGAAATTCAAACTGCAGAGTCCATAAATTAAGGATTTTTGGAGGCAGCCACACCCACTTGTTCTTCCATCATCTGGGCCTGTCTGCCCTGCAGTGGCGGAGCGCAGTGGCCGTGACAGAGACTTGCCTGCGGCTCCCAAAGCCTAAATACCTTGTGTCCGGCCCTCGAAGAGAAGGTCGGCTGACCCCCGGCCTAGAGAGTGTAAAACCGTGAGGTGTGATCTCTGAGGCACTTGTTCAAGCTCTGTGACTTTGCAACTGGATAACGTAGCTCATTGTGCAGCTGTGGTGAATGGCTTTGGTACCATGATTTTTTTAAGTCTGTTAAAAATATGAAAGAGAGGTCCAAGACACTGACATAGTTATTCTGCCTTACAATATTTTGTTGCCTTATAAAAATAATTTATCGTGTTCAGGGGGTGGTTAGAATAAGCAATACATATTATTTAAAATCATCATGTTTAAAATGTTATCGTGTACTTATAATTTTTAAGAACAGTTGCCATAATGTCAAAAATCTATTGGACTGTTGGGCTCCTGGTCAAAACCAGGACTGAAGCAGTTCCGGTACTTTGGTGCTGGAATCATGCACACTGAAATTTGAAGAAAAGACAAAGAAGAAACATCTATTAGGTGTTTTGTTATTATTATTTTTTTTTCACCCTGCATTGAGTTCAGGACCAAGTATGTTTAATAAACAAATACTATGCCCAAATTCTCAGTTGCATAGCAAAGAAGTACTTGAGGGAGACTCCTTGGAGGACAGACGCCAGCTGTGCCCTGAGAGGCACGTGGGGTTTGGGGACATAAGCAAGAGGGTGAGCATCAGCATATGCAGTCACAGAGCAGGAGAAGGACAGTGATGGCAAGCCACGGATGACAAATGCTCGGGCCGAGTTACCGTAGTTGAGATCCCCAACTTCTTCCTGAGAAGGAGTAATTTTTCATTCCCTTTCTGATGTGTGATTTCATGGGTTTCTGGAGTGTGCATGGTTTGGGGTGGGGCACTGCCAGGGACCAAGGCTGTGACACTCCCGTCACTGAGGTAAGCGGACTGGAATTTGAGCGGAGGGGGTGGGGTGTGTCAATATTAGAAGCCAGTATTTACCTAGAAATTACTAGGTGTCAGTCTCTATTCATGTATTACCTCATTAATCCTCATAACAACCCTTTTAGCCAGTACTATTATTATTTCCATTTTATACCAAGGAAACTGAGGCACAGGGAGATTAAATACCTTGCCCAGGGTCACTGAGTATTAAGTGATCATGTCAGAATGGGCTGGGTCATTGCAAGGTAAAAAATCCTCATGCTTTAGTGACTTAGAATAGAGGTTTAGCTCTCTTATGCTTTACTTCTTGTCCGTGTCAGTCGGGCCAGGGCGTGGGCTAGGCACACCCATCTGGGGCATCACCAGTCTTGGAGGAGGGAGAAGAGAGGTGGCGGATAATGCTCTAGGTCTAGAACAGAGTGTCACAGACTTGAATGTGAACTGCCCGGGGAACTTATTAAATGCGTATTATGATTCGGGATGCCTGGGATGGGCCTGAGATTCTGCATTTTTAGCAAGCTTCTCGGTGATTTCTATACTGCTGGACCATTGGAGTCAAGAAGGCTTGCTGACTTTTGCCCAGAAATGGCATCACTTCTGCTCACCAAAGAGTTAAAGTAAGTCACAGAGCCACGCCCACCTTTAAGGTGGCAGGGAATGTAATCCACCATCTACCCCAGAGGGAGGAGGACTGGAACATTTGGGAACAGCCCCAGTGAAGACAGCAACAAGTGTGAAGCTAGGGTTTGAATTCAGGCAGGCGGTCCCTCCGCACAGTTAGAGGTGTTGGTCCCTTCCCCAGGAGACAGGGCAGCATCATGGCACCTGCCCTGCTTGGCAGACAGCCCTTTGGGGTCGTCCTCGAGACCAACCACTTGCAGTTCATTTGTGTGGCATCGATGCAGCTTGGTGTCAAAGGCAGCCGTTCTCAATATAGCGTTGCAACTCTGAAATGCTTCAATTCATTTTTTCCTTCA